CTATAAGCTAAGAAGCTTAATATTCTAAAAAAGTAAAAATAGCCTAAGGGCTAAGGAGCCTATTATTAATAAAGGAGAGTATCTATATAGTTATCTAAGAGATAATTATTATAGGACAATATAGCTAACCTTTAGATCTACTTCTTAGCCTTGCTAGTAGATCTATTAGTTAGGCTAATATCTTGCTAATAGCTAGTGCCCTACTAGGCCCTACCTGTCGCTAGTCTATAAGACTAGCTATTGCTAGCTATAGCTCTAGCTCTTAGATAGGCATTAAATCTATTACCTATTTAACTATGTTAAGTAGTAGTATAACTAGTTATAATACTATAAGTAATTAACCTTCTACTACTATTAAATTTATAATAAAAGGTAAATATACTAAATTACTATTAAAAGCTATTTAATTAGTTATCTTAAAGGTAACTAATTAGAGGTATTCTTTTACTAGCCTAGCTACTAATATACGCTTACTAGTAGATTTTTTTACTACTAGCCTACGCTAGACTAACCTATCTAGCTAGATCTACTATACCTTTAGCTACTACTATTACTAACCTTTACTTTAATAACTTTACTTTTTTTACCTTTCTTTATACTCCTTTATATTAGTTATTTTACCTCTTTATATATTAAGGTTACTACTACTAAAGCTACTATTAATTAAAGCCTTTAAATAGTAATATTACTAACTAAAGCCCTACTATAAGTGTAGTACTAGATTTCCTTAAGATCTATACTTTTTTACTATATATACACTAATAACTATACCTATTACTACTAACTTTACTATTAAGACTTTATATCTTAGAATACCTTTTTTTACTATTTACTAGACTATTAGCCTTTATTACCTTTACTTTAAAGCCTTTACTACTTTATTATTAACTTTACTATTACTATTATTAATAATAACTATCTTATTACTACTTTTTTTACTTATAAGTAAATAGTTTATATTACTAGTAGTACTAACCCTCTTCTTAGCTATAAAATTTTATACTATTATTAAGGCTTTTACTTAAAGGATAATACTAATCTAGAACTAAGAGGATATAGTCTAATAGAGAGTAAATAAGCAAAGGATATATAAAACCTTAGCTAGTAGTAAGATACTTAAAGCTACTACTACTAATACTATTACTAATATATACCTAACTAGTGTATACTAACTAATAGCCTAATATAGCCCTAAGTTATATACTTAGCTATACTTTAGAAGCTATATAAACTATATTAACTATATCCTAGATTTAGAGAAGGTTACTTACTAAAAGGTAAACCTATCTATTAGCACCTTTAAGAACAAGAGAAGAAATCTAGTCCCTTTAACACTAGGTCTACTAGCTTAAGATAGCTTACTTCTGCTACTACCTTATAAAGCTACCTAGTACTATAGTTAAGACACCCTAGATAAAGATAATAAGGATAAAGATAATACTACTAGTTACACTATAGAAATAGGTCCCTAGGATAATAATAATAGATCTATTTATATAGGGAATTATTACTATAACTTTAATAAATTTAATAGCTAGCTAGTAGTTAACTACTAGCCTATATCTAGCTAACTTACCTATAGTTAACTAGTATTTAGCTAACTCTTTTATTATTAGCTAGTATATAACTATTAATACTACTAGCCTATATATATAACTAATTAACCTATATATTAATAACCTATATATACGCCTAGCTAGCTAGCTTATAGTTAACTAGCCTAAAGTCTATACCTATACCTATATATATTTTACTAGCTAACTTATAGCTAGCCTATATATATACTTAACTAACTAGTATATTAACCTAATTACTATTAACTTAACTACTTAGCTAGTAATAATAACTAGGATTATAGTAGTAATAATAGTAATACTATTAGAGATAACACTAATAAATATAGGGACTTTAATAACTATAGGATAAATATAGTAATAATAAATATAGTAATAGTTATAGTAATAATAATAACTATAATAAGGACTATTAACCCTTAAGTATACCCTTTCTATAACAGCTATAATAGCCTTATAAAAGCCTAAGGCATATAGTTAACTACCTGTTAGCTAGTAAATAATTACTATATAATAATTATTTCTATTATTAGGGGGGCACTTGTTATAGGATAATATAGCTAACCTTTAGATCTACTTCTTAGCCTTACTAGTGGATCTATTAGTTAGGCTAATATCCTGCTGACAGCTAGTGCCCTACTAGGCCCCACCTGTCGCTAGTCTATAAGACTAGCTGTTGCTAGCTGTAGCTCTAGCTCTTAGATAGGCATTAAATCTATTACCTATTTAACTATATTAATAATAAAATATAAAGTAAGTTCTTTATATAAAAGAGAGCTTACTAATAAAGCTATTAAGGTTAGCCTATATATAAGTAGTACTAAAGGTAATACTATAATATATATAAAGACTAATAAAGAAGCTAAAGAAACACTTAGGGGTAATAGCCTTTATAAAGGGATCCTTAAGGCTATCTACTTTACTATACTTCTCTTCTTTTACCTTCTTTTACTTCTCCTCTTTCTCTTTATCTTTGTCCTCTTCTTTATCCTTATTAAAGAAAATAGTTATAAGTAAAGTAGCCTTCTTTTTCTTTAAGGTTTAAGGTAAAACTACCTATATATATAACTATATAGCTATAATTACCTAAAATAAAGATATATAAGTAAAAGTAACTATTATATAAATAAGAAGTAACTTACTTTATATAAGGCCTTTTTATTACTTAAAGTATATAAGAAAGTATTAGCTAGGCTAATAACCTTAGAAGTAAATAGTATATATATATACTAATATATAATATATTAGTAATATTTAAGGCTAAGACTTAAAAGACACTTACTATTAAATTAACTTATAAGTATACTCCTTAAGTAATACTTATAAAGGCTAATAATAGTAGGTCTTTTTACTATACTCTCTTAGTACTTTAGTACTTTTATAAAAGTATTATTATTACTACTTAAATCCTCTTTAACCTTAGGAGATAATAGTAGGCTTTTTTTATTATTAATATAAAAGTAAAAAAATAATTACTTTACTATTACTTTATTATTTATAAAATAAGTTAGTAATTAAGAAATAACTAAGTAAATAAGTAGTAATATACTAGTTAAAAGTAAATTTAGGCCTAAGTTACTTAGCTTCTCTTAACTAAAGTTAAAAAGGCTAGTCTTTAAAAAGACTACTTATTATTATTTTTAAGAAGCTATACTTATTCTTTAGTACTAAAATTAATTAACTAGTAATAAGATAATACTTATAAGACTTATTTATAAAAGGTTTTTACTTTCTTATAGACTTACTAAAGGTCTTTTTTTTTTCTTAAGAGAAAATAAAGTACACTTATAGTAACTATAGTAGTTATATAGTAGTAAGACTACTATAGCCTTAGGGCCTATAGTAACTATAAAAGTATATATATAAGCTTTACTAAAAGTAATAGTTTTATAAGATATTTAAAAAAAAAAGTATTAGTAATTAAGTAAAATAGTATAGTAATATAAAAAAATAATAAGTTAAAAATTAATTATAATAAAAATAATAATATAACTTATAATTATTATTATAGTTATTAAAAAAAAAGAAAAAAGTAACTATAAATTTAGCCTTAAAGTAAATATTTACTAGTATATAAATTAGCCTTATAGTAAGTAGCCTTACTAATAAGAACACCTAATACTAGTAGCCTATAATTATATAATAACTAGCCCTTTTATACTAAAAGAACTATTTTTTCTTTATATCTAGGTATATAGTAACCTACGCTAACGCCTAAGGGGGTATATTACATAGGATATTACTAACTAATACTACTTTCTAGAACAACGTTGCTTATTAATCTAAGCCTTGCTCCTAAATATAGATACTTACAGCAGAATCTACTAAGTAAGGCAATATTTAAGGAACATGGATTATAGTACTATAGATAGAAGAAACAAGCCACTTTTAACTACATAAATTACCCCCCTAAACGCACTACTTGATGATAGACTTTGATATACTTATCGAAAGCTAAGCTTTGTACGGGCGGATGGTGTGCTCCCCATGGTTCTCGCTGTAGATGGTGATCCCGTTCTCTTTGACTGCGTCATAATTCGATCTTACGACGACTGTCAATCGAACGTGTGGTACTCTGGTTAGAATGAAAGCATAGAATGATCCAATCAGTTCACGTCAACGTTTCAATTTATTCCAGCCAAAACATTTGATGCAACGCACGCTCCGAGTCCGTACAAAAGGACATCGTGCTGTTTATCGTCAGGCATTCTTAGAGCGATGCAGGCTGGCCAACACTTTTGGTGACCTCGTTACCGTTGATAGCGGTTGGTTCCTCCGGCAAACTGTTGTTTGCACGCTATCCCGTCACAACGCCATAGAGGCACGAGAACCGCAGTGAGATGATAGATTGCCGAGTTCTCTTCTCTCATCGTTTTTTCGCGCCCCTGAAAACCGGCTGCGAAGGTTCAGGTACCTGTACCCCAGACATCCCCTGTACCTGTCTCGTGGGGGATTAAGACGGAGGCAAATTGGGGGTCATGAGGGGGTCATGTCCGTGTTCGGCCAAGGGTGTGCCCAACGTAGTGCCCCATGTTTCCCCTCACTCCATGGCCAACTGGGCGGGGAAGTCGGGACTAATCATTCCTTTCGTCTTCATCATTGGAGGCCTCTAGAGAGTCGGTACTGTGTCGGTTTGAGGCTTGGCTTCATGATGTGGTCTTGTTGGTATAATCAATAGGCCCTCGGAATTAAAACCATCAACGAAACCAACAGATCCGCATGTGATCCGCCCTTCTTGTCAGCACACAACACACACACGTCGGGCGACTGTTGTGGATAATATTACCTGAATTGTGCAGTTGGATATGTGATTTGTCGCGCTAAAAACGACGCCGTTAGTCGCAGCAACACAACTAACGCCTTATATCACATCGTGACATGATTAAAACGGGTACGTGAGCGAGAAAAGTTCCGCCAAAGCTACTGCTTGTAACTACTTAGCTCGGGTCCATGTTTGCGTTCTGTCACTGTGTGGCCGCAGACCCGAGGATTCATCTCCGCAGCTATGACGAAGATTGCTTTCTCTTTAACCTCTCGCCCCAATCATTCGCACAGTTCGCAATCTGCAACGCCGTTTCGCGAATCCTGCTTGCCTGTCTGACGAGCTTCTTTTTTTCGTCTGGTGTTTTGGGCGCTCTCAACGACCTCGGATCCTCTTCCTCCACTGTGTGCCCCCATTCATCGGCCGACCTAGCTACCAATCGAGCAGCATCTTCGATCCTCTTTCCGGGAGGTTCCGGCCCATCTTCCAGATAATACCTCTGTGACTGTGACGATATAACACCAGCGATGAGGTTCCAGACGGCGATGAGATCCCCCTTTGGAATAGACCGGGATATCGTGCTTGAGATAAATCTCCGCTCGGCGGAAAAACTTCGGGCTGTCTTTGTTACTGGCCGCGGGTGGGAACACGACAGCACATTGATACAGTTGCTGCGTGCTCTGTTGTGCACGCCTGGGACTAAAGCACTCTGCGCCATACAATGTCGAGATTGTGCTTCTGTGATGTCTTTGTGTCGTCCTCGAAACTGATGTAGCCCTTGTCTCTCCCTTGATTTATTGTCTAGGACGCGTGCTCGGTCATCTGGCATTGCCTTTTGATCAACTTGTTGTAAAGACTGATGCTGCTGTGAATCCTGAGTCGCGGTGTCGATAAGAACCTCGGGTCCCGGCCAAAGTCGCGATGTAAGTTTCGCTGTAGGCATCGTGGCTTGCTCTTTCAGTTTAACCTTCGCGGCCTTGGCCAGCAGCTGAAGTGTGATGTTCTCGACCTTTCGTTCCTCGCCCTCAGCTCAAGAACGACATGATCATATTGGTCATTTGAAAGTCGTGATGAAAGTCTTGAAGGGATAAAGAATGAATGACTACCCACCATGAACAAAGCTAACACTTTGTAATACAATCCCGGTGGTCCACAGTCCTTCGAATACACAAAACGCCACTTGTATTGCCTCCTTTACGTAATTTCATTGGTCATTCGCCGCCCCTGCGGGCGAGTGTGCCTAAGGTGATTGGCCATGAAGAATTGGCGCAAGGGTCGGCCTTCAAAACGGTTCTGGACTCTTGTACTTGTTGGGAGGCCATGAGGCACTTTTGTTCTCCTGTCCATGCCGCCACTCCCTCATCTCCGCCCTTGAGTTGCTTATGTGACATAAGTGGTAGGTTGGCGCCTTGGGTTCAGAGCCGTGGCATAGCTCGTCATAAGCCGAAGCGATGAGCTCGTCCAATCCGATGACCGGCGGCTTAGTCTTTAGCGGTAAAATATCCCCCGATTGGACGACACCATAACATAATCGGGTGCTGTTTTCCGTTTGTAAGATGCGCCCAAGAAACCGGGAATGACGCCCTCTTTCTGAGAGATCTGCTTCCAACATCTTATTGACCTGATTACGTGCGCCTGAGAAGCCAGTGGGGGCCAGTCGCTGGGCGCTCATAACCAGCGCTGATGAGTCGAGTTGCCGAGCATAGCCGGACGCTGCCGATCCTCTACTGAGATCAAATCTTCCCGAGAATCTACCACACTATGAAAGGGTTAGTGGGAGCTGCAAAGCAGTTTCACCGTTCCTTCTAGTTATTCCCGTATCCAATGTGATCGAGAAGCAAGGTACAGAACCCCATGTGGCGATTCCAGAGCTCGACCTCGCTGTTAAAGTTCACATTACTTCCTCAAAGTAGCGACGTATTCGGCGAGTCGCGTGCTGGGCGGACACCACGCCGGTTTCCACCCTGGATGTCACCGTCTTGACTGATCAATCTGCTAATTCCGCGCCGAGATCATTTAGGTACATGTTCTGTTGGGCTAAGTTTAGTCTGTGGAGAAGATACAGTGGAGTGACTGAAGGATTCTCCCTTGGCTAGCGGAGAACCGTCATCATTTGTTGCCAGCCCCCCGCGGAATCGTTTACCACCCGTTCGACTTCCCTGACCTGTGGGGGGACTCTAGGTAAAGTTGGGATGATGCCTTGTAGAATTGTGAATCATATGATACTCTCAGAGGAGATGCCAGCGTGGGGGTTGGACTCCGTGACCACTCTCTGTTTTCAGTGTTCTTGTTGTGTGCACAACCTACACCAACTAACTTAAGGGGGCGAAAGCTGATCCTACGATGAACCATGCACGACTGGTCTGGCTATTTATTTACCTTTTACATCGGCGAAGCTAAACCGTTATCATCACCCCTCTCTAGTTCTATCTAAAGCCACATTCCGTTCTCATCCCCCAAACAACCACCCATCTCATCGGTCATCATGTCTCCTTCAGCCAGCGGTAATTCCTATCACAACGGTGATGGCTCTGGCCACCCTCCAAGACCGGCTTTGATGCCGGGGCTTTACGTGCCAACGGTAGCGTTTTTTCATTCCGACGACTTGGTAGATGTTGAAACGACCACCTCCCATGTCGTCCGTTTAGCCAAGGCGGGCGTTGCTGGCCTCGTCACCCACGGCTCCAATGGCGAGGCTGTGCACCTTGACCACGCCGAAAGACAGCTCATCAACCAAACCACACGAGCAGCGCTTGACTCGGTTGGAGGAAGCAATCTGCCTCTAATTGTCGGCTGCGGTGCACAGTCAACAAGAGAGACCATCCAATTATGCAAAGAAGCCGGGGCGTCAGGCGGTGACTACGCTTTGGTTCTTCCACCGGCATACTACGGAGGCCTTCTCACTACCGAACACATAATTCAACACTTCAGAGAGGTTGCAGACGCCAGCCCCATCCCCATCCTCATCTACAACTACCCCGGCGCCTGTAGCGGTCTGGATCTCAATTCAGATACAATCATCTCCCTCTCAGAGCACGAGAACATTGTCGGGGTGAAGCTGACCTGCGGTAATACGGGAAAGCTGGCGCGGATAGCCGCTGCAACAGCTCCAAAGAAAGGAGATGCGGGCGCCCCATTCCGTACGTTTGGCGGCAGTGTCGATTTCACCCTCCAAACGCTGGTCGTTGGGGGCCATGGAATCATCGGGGGAACTGGCAACATCGCACCTCTAGCCTGCGTGAGGCTCATAAACCTATGGGACGAGGGGAAACTAGCGGAGGCAAGGGAGCTTCAAGCCGTCGTTGCTCGCGGTGACTGGACAGCAATCCAGGGTGGGTTTGTTTCGGTCAAGGCGGCTCTCCAAGAGTACTATAACTATGGAGGTCTTCCAAGGAAGCCTTGTGCTTTGCTAGAGGGGGAGAAACTCGCCAAGCAGCTTGATGGATTTGCTGAACTGGTGGCTGTTGAGACAGCTTTGCAGAAGTGAGTCGATCAGGCTGGGGGCATGGGAAGGTCTTTACGAAGTGGCTTCGCTGACATTATGTACATTTTTTGTTGTTAAAAGAACACTATATGTCAACTCAATCAACACTGCGATCTATCCAGCACGAGCGTTCCATTGAGTAAACAGTGGTCTGATTCTGACAAATAATCCACAAAAACTTTCTTACCAATAAATGACCCCAGTATACAGCTTTTAATATGGGGTTGTGACACTAGGTTGTGCTCAAAACCACCTGAGGCTGAGATTCCAAGGGTACCAGTTGGCTTTCAAGAATCTCTGAACCTCGTCACTGTCGATCTGCCCTGGTCAGTATTTTCCCGTTGATACTGCATATCGGACTTTTACGCATCGTGATATCTATCCATGTACCAGGTGAACTGTACTAATACTAGACCGCTTATGGGACTATACTTAGGAATGTATTGTATAAATTTGAATGCTCATTTTGGGGATACCTCTCAACCCCCCACCATCAGAAGTCGTCCCACCTGTCCCGAACCAAATCCGTCTCAAATCCCATGAGGGTGTTAATAAGTCCAGCTGAGATGGGAAAACTAGTGACCCCCACATAAGTTCCCGTTTAGCTTGGAGTCTAAGCAGCTCTGCGGGTCCGGATCTGGGGAGTTGACCCCCAACCACCTGCGTTATTTGTGAAGAGCGGGTCAATCGCTAGGATGCAATAGGTGACGAAACCAAGGTTGGTCGTGCGATGGATGACGATCTGATACATCCCATGGTACTGAGTTTTTATCCATCAATTTAAGAACCTTCTTTATTGTGCTCAGTATAGGGCATGAGACTTATACTGAGTTTTTTCGATCGTATCTCTACATGTTGGCAATGTACCTAAGTAACGGTCTAATGTGATTCTGATAGGATCTTTGCCCCCTAAAGCTATGTCTCCCCGCAAAATCCCCATAAGAACCCAACGGCGAATCGCGTGAGCATGTACGGGTAGTCGGTGCGTAACCGAACTTTGAGACCCGTTTTGCATGACAACAAACGAATCCTCCTGGTTTCATTACATGCAGATTACATGCAGAAACCCACTCTGGCCGAAGTTCGGAACAAATTGAGGGAAATAACCCGTATGCAAATGAGTGCTAATGTGCCAAAAGATCGGGACAGTCTACTTCTGAGGATCAGGAAGCCCTTCAAAAATTCCGGAGGAGGTTATGAAGTCAAGAATCCAAACCAAAAAATTACGATAGCAATCAAACTCTAAATTATGTCTTAATAATTTGTAGCTGAAAATCTCAGATATACTGGGAAATTATTTTCTTTGTAGAGCTGCATAGCTGTGGCGACGAGAGAGACAAGGGGCGTTGGTCGGCTCAGGCCACGTCAGTGTCCCTGGCTGATACGGGTTCAGATGTTAGTCTCATCCACGTAAGTACGTGTACCCTACCTTTTATACCGTGTTTTGGAGCTGACTTGAGCGTGGAGAGACGACAAGGAAAATAAAGGAGCAAGTCAAAAACCGCGGTAAGAGGGCCATTATTCACATCGTAGACTTGGCAAATCAAACCAAGTGGAAGATCTGACCAACCGAATCATTGCCGATGGTCACGGCGTCAGCACCCTAGTCACCTGCTCTGGCATTCAGTGCAGATACTCCACGCACCCTGCAGTTCCCGATGAGCGACGGGGACGAGGTCCTGCAAGTCAACCGCGAGATAGTCTGGGCCCTAGCCCGTGACATTGCGGCTTGCATGCTCACGCAATCCAGACTCAACTCACCGGCTATCGCGGCAGTATCATCAACATGGTATCCCTCGTGAGCTTTCAGGGAGCCATCACGGTTTCCGCGTCGGCGGCAAGGGCGGATTTATCACGCAACTAACCAAAGCACCAAGCAACTAGTGAGCGAGCCAGGGCATCAGCGTGGACGCTATTGCGCCTGGCTACATGGCGACACACATGAGGGAGGTGCTGCCAAACAACCCTGAAAGGGCGTCAGTCATTCTTGCTACGATTCCTGCGGGCAGATGGGGCACCCAAAAATGACTTTGAGGGTGCCACAGTTTTTCTCACGGGACTGAGGAGTCTGCAAGTTTTGGCTATGCTGTTTATCGTTGATGGGGGCACGCTGGACGGGTCGATGAAACTTGTCGGTTCATGTCATTGAAAAAATACAGGTTTGGCCCTGACACCTTGATCAGGCATAACTCTGACTATGAACACTGGATGATGCTATAGAAAGCTTCCAGCTGATAGTGCTGTTCCCTGGTGACCTAGCCCTGATTCCATGTTTCATGGTGATAGCTGGTATACATGAGTTGTCATTCATAGATGGAAGCCTTCAGAGTCCATTCTGGTAATATAAGTGTTAGCAAGAAGAAACATGTAGTAGTTATGTATGGGGAGGTTCATTTTCATGCTTTGAAGTCCTAAAGCACGATGTCAATGCCAAATATTGCTGACATGAAAACTGACTCTCTTCGGTAAAAGCCATGACTCCAGAATATTTGCCGGATATGTTCAGAGCTACTATAAAGAGGTGAGCCAGCGTTTCGGTAATACGAACTGACCCTATGGTACTAATAATAACCGCCGGTGACCTAAACGTGGCTTACTTCGCTAAATTGCTTCTTGGCTAACTATCCTTGGTATTATGTACCCAAGACATCCCTCTACAGCTAGGTGGTAGCCATCCATCGTAGTCTTGCCCCACCTATAATCACCATTCTCGTCGGTAATTTTGACCATGAGAAGGCGGGACTTTACGTGATAATACCGCACTGTCCTAATTTTGGTCATGGTGTGCGTGCTCATAAGTTGGGTGGCTACTAGGTCGGAAAGTCTTGGGATGACTATTGACTGCAGGAACTGATAATGGGCACCTGGACGCAATATCTGATGTTCCCTGACCTCTATTCTCAATGGATAGCTCATAATATGAACCTCTACTTTAGTAAAGCATATGTGTCACTCAGTCTACCTCCGCTTCCAGCTTAATGGAGGATAAGGTTAATCCTCCTGGCCTCCGCAATCTTCACCCCCACCATTTTACGACCCCCACTGGCGCTACAGGAGGCGCGAGTTATGCACTTACGGATTGCGGAGGCTTCTAAACCCTAATTGTCACTCATTGGATCATGCCGTAGCAAGCTTCGGGGTTTTCCCGATCCTTGTCGACAACGTCTCAGTGTATGATGGCTCAAAACCAACGCCTCCACGGCTTCGCAGCTTTGCGGCCTTACCCCTCACTGTCAGGCAGCGTCCGGGGGCCGTTGTTTGATGGGTGAACTCTCTTACCGCCTCTTTTCCGGTGATTGGCTCATGCCGAGTCCTTGTGCGGATTGTATCACTCGAACATTGAGGGGTTTCAGCAAGATTAACCGTCAAGCCTGAAAAATGTTAGAAAATGGTGAATCTTGATATCATCAGAAACCTGCTTCGGATTGACTTGGCGAGACCGCTGATAAGAGGGGCACATTAAAGTCGCAGTACTGTCAGAATACTCTATTTGAGTTTGTGTCTGTACCAGAGCTATATTTGGTGACAACTCAGGAATATCAGGGTAGCCTATTTCGTCGTCAGTAAAACAGCACCTTGTACCCAGATATAGTATGTGATGGATGGAAAGAGTCACACCAACACAGACGTGATGCCAAAGTGATGCTTGAGAACTGCCATATGCCTCACACAATAAAATGCCGTGAAGGACGCATATTTAGCTGTGACGGTTGTGGCACAGTACATTTGTAAAGCCACATCGAGCACGACTCGAGGCGTCTAAGAAACTTGTATATCTAACTGTCTTTCCGCCTTGTAGACTGATATCGAGACCCAATTACTTTTCTACTCCACTTTGCAGACATTCGATTCGTCACACGAGATATTTGTCTTGGAACTTTCTCTTGCTCTCTTTATATCATCAAGATCATGAACCATGAACCAGTATTGATTCCCATTCTCACTGAGCTCTGGCAGAAGACGCCATCATCTGCTCACCAATACTACCGTCGTTATTACGAGTACTCTTCTCGCGTGAAACCCCTCCTTCTTCATCTCGACTCTCAGTGGTACTATCTGTGGGCTCTATATCATCGATCGGGTGCAAACCTTGATCCTTAACAAACAGGCAGCCGATCAGACATAGACCGATCAACGGTATTTGTAAAATGAAGACGGCCCGGCTTGCTGCCATATAAGAATCCAGAACCACGGCCATGTCCTGCTCGTTAAGTTTGGGTATCGAATAGCTACTGTTTGACAAGTATTTAAACTCTGGTGGGAGATGCGCCCGCAGCGTCGCTTGTAGTACTGCTGCAGATACAGCGAGGCCGCATGCACCACCTGCGCATCGGAAGAAGTTCCGGTTAGAAGTGATTACTGCTCGTCGGGACCTCAAAGAATGGGCTTGAAGAGCCACAAGAGTTGGCTGGAAGATAAGACCAACTCCCATCCCGATAATGATTAACGGAATAACAATGATTCCTGGTTTGGTGTCTGAATCATATATTAAAGTCAGTCCTGCACCTCTGTGCCGATCGTCAGTCATCAGAAACGTATTCAAAGAGTCAAGGCTTTGACATACAATGTCCATAGACCGAACCCGGCCCAAATGACCTCTCCATAGCGTTTGACTCTAGAAATATACTGGCCAGAGAGAACCGATAATACCGTCTGTGTTGACATCAATGAAACAGTAATCGCAGCAGATTGAAGGGCTGAATACTGATGGGCGTTCTGGAGGTAGAGCGGGATGTAGTACAGATATGATTGATACACTGCACCAAGTAAAAAGCACTGTATCAGTAGAACAGCAACTACTTTATTCTTGAAAATTGACACTATGCCGAGTGAATCAGTAATCTAAAGAACAACTTTAGATAACGGCATGTCATGATATCATTACCTGGCATCATCGGGAGCCTTGCAAACTTCCACTCGACGAACACGAAAGCAGCCATGAAAATGGCGCCGATTGTAAGCATACTAATTACCGTTGCCGAGTTCCATGGGAAATATGCACCACCTGAAACATGTAAGTAAATGCAACGACAACTTTCTTGTAACTTAAGGGCAAGACTGCAGTTGAAACTTACCTCCAGAGATGGGAATCAGCAATAAAACGACCCCAGCCGAGGAGGTGAGAGAACCAGCATAGTCGATTTTCTTGACGCCCTTCATAAAGTCCTCTTCCGACGGCTTAAATGGCAACAAGTAGTATGCGATGATTCCGACTATGAGCCCCATTGGTGAAAGCATCCAAAAAAAGGCTCTCCATGTCGTCTTCTCAACAAAGGCGGCTGCAAGGAAAGGGCCAATGGCACTGCCCAACCCGACCATTGACCCAGTGATACCCTGGTAATTTCCACGTTGCTCAAGAGTGACGATGTCCGAGAGAATGATCATGGCAAGATTCGTTATGCCGCCTCCGCCGATGCCTGCGATGCCGCGGAAGATGTAGAACATGGTCGCACTTTGCGAAAGTCCGCATAGTAGATCGGCGAGGGACAGGAGCGCAATGGCACTCAAGAAGATGGCTTTACGCCCAAAGATGTCGGAAAAGCGCCCGTAGAGCATCTGGAACATCGTGTTTGCAACGAGAGACGAGGTACCCGCCCACGAGATGGTGTCCTCCGCGTTGAGGTCGGCGGCAATGGTAGGTAATGTGACGCTAATTCCATTTTGATCGATAAATGTTACTAACATGGTGACTGCCAGAGTCACGGAGACCACAAGACGCTTTTTGAAGGGTAGGATGTTGGTCTGATCCTGAAGACTCTTTTCTACCGTGGTAAGGTCCGTCATGCTTTAACCCTTATTGACTATTAATTGACAAGATAATGAAGCATTGGACGACGGCAACAATGAAGGTATTTTGAAATAAGTGAGTACGAAATCTGTGTACCAAAATCGAGATCAGGTTCGGCTCAACTGCTGGGGAGATCGCATTGCAGAAAAAATTCAACTAGGGATGCAACGTTGAGAGCGGATTCGGAGACCAAAGACTCGGAGCACCGCCGTCAAAGATTGGTCCTTCGGCTGCATCTCGGCTCCGCAATCGGCGAAAAGGATCGGCGAGAATTGTTGTAAGGCAAAATGATAAGTGAAAACATCGGTGGGTCATCATGTCGTGTCTTCTTACAAGGGGGTTTCGGGACTTTTTGAAGCGAATATCTCCACAATTGAGCTTATCGTGCGTCGGATGGTCAACAACCGCAGCGGATGCCCGAAGCCGTTATTACTCCGCAGTGTGTTCTCACTAGCCTCGGCTCTTTCAGATTAACTACCAAGAGGAATGAATGCATATGGGAACTAGTTGTGTGAAGACACAATTGGCGGGTTGTTATCCGACTATCTAAACAGCGACGAAAGCTAGCGCTGTGAGCAGCGAACCAAAGCGATAAGAGTATTGTTACTCAAGTCATATATAGTAGTCTCTTCAGTATAGACCTGTAGGCTCAAACACTGAAACAAGATTAACATACTGTTGATGCAACTTGAATGGAAAATCTGGTTATCTTGCATATCTGTTTTATAACCGAAAGTGATGTTGAGAGTGACAAGGCTTAGGAGAGCCGTCTCCTCCCAAGAGTTCAAGCAATTCATCCAGACTAAGGAGGCCCCGAAACAGGGAGCAGCTTACTTCAATGAGGACTTGCTTCCAACCCCACCTGGTAGCTTGCCTCCATGCTCAGTTCGAAATCGAGGCAGACAAGAGTTGATAGCTAACCGCCATATAGAACACCGCAAGTGGACAGCTTTGCACTTTTTCACCTATTACTTAACTCAAACATTTTCACCAAGCTCGTACAACCTCGGAGCAACCCTGATATCGATTGGTCTCGTAAGTTAGGAACCCTAGCCTGTCTTGGGTTTTGTCGCTCACCATGAACAGCAATGGTGGCACGGCATGCTTGCCGCCGTGATAGGGTCTGCTATTCTCAGTGTTGTTGTTATTCTCAACTCGCGCGGCGCAACTCAGTATCATGTGGGCTTCCCGGTCTACATTCGCGCTGCCGCAGGTGTGAGTGGCGCAAAGCTATTTATCATTATCCGCGCATCCGTTGCGGTCATTTACTTCGCAACTCAGTCATTCTATGGAGGCATGCTCACTTCAGTGGCACTGCGCGCCATTTTTGGGCCCAGCTGGGAAAACATCCCGAACCGCCTCCCAGCCAGTGCCGGGATCTCTTCCAAGAACCTGATTGCCTTCTTCATCTTTTGGCTTATTCAGTTCCCAGTGATGTTCATTCATCCAACCATTTTGAGACACCTCTTCGTCGTCAAATCCATCGCAACGACAGCAGGCTTGTTCGGAGTCCTCGGATGGGCTATCCAGATGAACGGAGGAAGCTTGGGAAATTTCAACTTCGGTGGCAAAGCCTTGAGTGGCACCGCTTTGGTATGGCCAATGATTCAAGCCATCAACAGTGTCATGGCTGCGCTGTGTCCAATCTTGGTAAACCAGCCCGACGTCGCTCGGTACGCCACACGGCCCTCGCAAGCGACTTGGTCGCAGGCGATAGGGATATTGGTCAGCAAAGTACTCGTTATGTTTCTGAGCTGCGCAACAACAAGTGCGGCGTCCGGCGTTCTTGGAAAGAGCTATTGGAATGTCTGGGACTTGTACAATGCCATATTGACAGAGTACTGGGGTCCTGGAGCCCGCGCTGGAATGTTCTTTGCTTCAGCTGTAAGCTGATTCCGTATGATATTCTCAATTGATACTTGCTGACTTCTATCAAAAGGGAATGATTCTTGCTATTATTGCAACCAACGCAGGTTCAAACTCGTTACCAGTTGGCGCCGACGTCACTGGTCTCTGGCCTAGGTACATCAACATCGTCAGAGGCCAGGTTATTTGCGCACTTCTTGCGCCGCTATGTGTGCCATGGAAGATAATCTCCAGCGCAAGCTCTTTCCTCACATTCTTGGGGTCATACACCGTCTTCCTCATGCCTACTTGTGGGGTAAGTGAACTTTGATCGTTTTGTCCAAGATGGAAACCGCTGACGGCATTTGAAGATCATGATTGTGGACTACTGGGTCCTGCGACGAGGCAACTTACATGTTCCAAGCCTTTACACCAAGAACGAAAGCTCTCCGTACACATACTATAAGGGATGGAATTTACGAGCTATTATGGCATGGCTCTCTGGTGTCATCTTTACCGTACACGGTATTGCTGGGAACCTAGACCCGGACTCTGTCAACCAAGCGAGTAAGAACATGTACAAGCTTGGGTTTCTGCTCTCGCTTTTTATGGGCTCTTTGGTTTACTATACGGCGTGTCTTATATGGCCAGTACAAATCCATCCGACAGGACTAGACTCAGAGATTTCGATGGGATTCGAGAGCATGGCGGCATCGGAAGGGTTCCTTCCGGGAGAAGGTATCGAAACAATCCGCGGAGTCTTCTCAGTTACTGATGCTACCGGTGTTGATGAATGTGCTGAGAAAAGTTCTGGTACAGGGTCTATGGGCAAGGGGCATGTTCTTTGATAAGAGGCGTTGATATAAAGCAGCAGTACGGTTCGCTCAAGTTGGTTTGGCGACGCCTTCGTGACGGAAAATTTCTTTGTTCCTAAGGACCATTTTTTCTAAATAAGCCGTTTATTGCTCTTTACCTCTTATTTTTAGTGCTGATGTCGCAAAAAGTGGCGCTGGGGCAGAATCTGTGACTTGGTCGTCTCTGCCCAGGATTGCCTCGGCCATCCCATGAAGCTTGTCTTATCGGTCAATCCGATGGAGGCGAACCTCTAGAACTACTTGTCGCTATTTTCTTAGTCAAATTTGCCAGTATATTCCTTCACTTCCTTAATCAATGGAATGAAACACACACACGAGCGGAAGTTGATAGCGGGCTAATGCCAAGGCTATATCAAATTTGTCAATTGATACCACCTCTAAAAGGCAACAATAATGCTAGATATCCGGGTCCTTTTGTATGACGAATTCAATAGAATAGTATTTCTACATCATGCGTCCTTCATCCACTCCCTGTTAGGTTTGTATGGGAAGTGGGATCTCATGTGCTTCGCAATGTCTCGTCTCGTCGTAACCCATACACCTTCCTTTTCCGCAACGTACTTCATGAACTTTCTCAATGCCTCCGATCTGCCTGGCTTACCTATGATGCGCGTATGTAAAGGAATATTCATCATTTTGCCTCCTTCTCGGTAGAGGCAGTCGAAAGTGTTCTTCAAGTACTGCTCGTATGTTTCGGCCACGGAGCTTCCGAATCCTGGCGACATATGAAACTTTCCGTCGTTACAATCGTAGTTGTAAGGGATGAGAAGCATCCCCTCCCTCTTGTCCTCTGGCAGGTCTTCCTCCCAAGGCAAGTCGAGCCAATAAGGGACATCGTCATTGTAGCATTCCGAAGACCACAGAAATTCGCCCCCAAGGCTCTTCCAGACCTCTGGGAACAAGGATGGTGTGTTGGGCGTTCCGCGGCCAAAGTAGGCGCCAACTGGCATCTCGCCTGAAACTTCTTTCAACATCAATATGTTTTGCTTGATGTACTCCTTGTCTTCTTCCAATGAGTAGTTCCAGATATCTAGCCATCTCAGTCCATGGCAAGCAATCTCGTGTCCGTCCCGGACAAGAGCCTTCGCAAAGGTTGGGTTGCGCTTAAGAGCGTACGCCACTGCATAAGTGGTGAAGTTCCACCCAAACTCTTTAAAGAGCCGAATGAGACGCCATGATGCTGAACGACTTCCGTATTCAAAGTCTTGTTCGGCGTTCAAGTACCTAGCGCCGTCTTTGTAGCCCCCTGATGCGCCCTTTTCCCACAGGTATGGTTCCGAGAAAGCATCACCATCCAAGATGCTGCGCTCACCTCCTTCCCTAGAGCTCCCGTCAGCTTAATGATTTTCTCTTGTTACTGCTAGAAACCTACTCGTAGTTGAGGACGAATGATACTGCAATACGAGCACCATTGGGCCATTTCGGGTCAAACCCCTCCTCGCCGAACCCTTAAATATGAATTCAGCACTTGCAGTCAACACCATAGTGGCAAGACTTACCCTCAAAGTCCCGAGGCACTTGAAGTTTCTGTTCGACATGAACCATTTTGAGCAGTGTAAGGTGACGTTTGTTTAGGTTTAGGAGTTGACAGCAGTTTAGAAGGCTACTGGGAAATTGATTTCTGGATATTTGTCTTAACTTCAGCCACCAGTTATACTGGCGGTATTTACACAGAAATAGACAAGCCATGAAATATTATTTCATGGTCTGCAAAACGAACGGATCGGCACCGAGACTGCCATTCCCTTACCCGTTATCACATTGTGACGGGTGTACTGCGGGGCGCATTGAACAGTGAGGTGATTCTTCTAGAGATAAGGCAGTTGCGGGGTTGATTAAGCTGATAGCTATCAAGCATCGGTTCATTTTCTCCGATGCTTTGGAATTGACATTAGGCAATAAGCAGGCACAGATAAACAGCAACGAGCCTGAAGATAACGATAAGAATCCTAGGAACATGCAGGACGCTTTCTTATCTTTGTACTGTATGGCGGGCATGAGCACTCCAGCATTTGGAATGGTCTTAATAGGCTTCACGTAGCTGTTTAATTCGGGTAAAGACCTATTTACCTAATCGTTAACAAACCTTACTGATAACTCTTCGAGTCGGAAACATTACTCTCAAGGCATAACGACATCATGTCTGTCTTTTCTCTGGAAGTGGCAAAGACTAACCCCGTGAGCGAGAGAGTTCTTGATGAAAATTTGACGGCTCTTGGAGTTTCTGTGAAAGAAGAGGAGAAAGATGACTATCAACGACTTCTTGCCGTATTCCACGAGTCTGCTGTGGAACTCATGTCGTTGCCAGGTATGTGACCCACCTGTGCCCTACCACAACACTCTAACACTTTCTTCCATAGATTATGTGCCGCCAGTTGATGAGGAACGATTTCCTAGGGAAGACATCAGATTTCCCGAGGCATCAGACAACCCTTTGGGAGCCTGGGCATGGCGGTGTCGTGTGGAAGACAAAACCAAAAAGGGTGGTCTACTTGCCGGCAAAAAGATTGCAATCAAAGACAACATCGCCGTAAAAGGCGTGCCCATGCTTCTTGGTACAGATTTTGTCAAAAGCTATGTTCCGGTCGGTCTTATCCATACAACGGGGCGTCTGATGACTACTAATTTGCCCTGATAAATAGAACACAGACGCGACTTGTGTAAAGAGGCTACTCGAAGCAGGGGCAATTGTTGAGGGCAAGTCCGTATGTGAAAACATGTGTCATTCAGCGACGAGCAGTTCATCCGCAACGGGCCATGTTCATAACCCCTACGCGAAGGGCTACAGCAGTGGCGGTAGCTCGAGTGGCTCCGGTGCTCTCGTTTCCAACGGGGACGTTGATATGGCTCTTGGTGCAGATCAAGGAGGTTCCATCCGCGTTCCTGCCGGTTGGTGTGGGCTGTACGGTCTGAAGGCAACGTTCGGACTAGTACCATACACAGCATGCGGCTCCAATGAGCCAACCAACGACTATGTTGGACCCATGACACGAACGTTGCTTGACAACGCATTGATGCTGCAGGTCATCGCAGGGAACGACAATATCGATGACAGGTCTTTCCCTGCGCCCACACCCGACAATGTTCCGAAGTACTATCACAACTTGATTCAGTTGAAAACTCCTAAGGATCTATCTGGCTTCAAGATTGGAATCCTTGCAGAAGGAATGAATCAACCATCCGTTGAATCACGAGTCAGGTTATGTGTCGAGGCTGCGATTCGGGGTTTCCGCGAACTTGGAGCGACCGTTGAAGAGATATCAATCCCGTTTCACTCTAAAGGAGCGGCTATTTGGACCGCCATCAGCAAGACCGGGGGATATCTCGCAAAAAGAAATCACTCCTTCGGTAGACGAGGCCACGCCATGAACGACTTGACAGAGAAGTTCCAAACGTTGACACAGGACCAGTGGGATAATGCCTACGTCTCCTCCAAAAACATCTACCTCAACGGGGTCTACACGCAAACTACATTTCCGGGACTTCTTGGCAAGGCAACGAATCTTAGTCGGAAGCTCCGAGATGATTACGATAGTGCCCTTTCGCACTATGACATCCTCGTGGCACCAAACTTGCCTTACGTTGCCAACTCTCACACCCCTTACGATGCATCACCTTTGGAGAAAATTGGAAAGCAAATTGGACTCACTGCCAACACCGCACCTTTCAACCAGTCTGGACATCCAGTGTTAGCGATGCCTATTGGCATGTTGCCGATAGAGGAGGGCCCTCTAGCAGGGTCTGGCACGAAGTTGCCTGTGAGCATGCAACTAATTGGAAAGTGGTGGCATGAAGACGACGTCTATCGAGCTGCCTACGCTTGGAGTCTGGCATATGACTGGAAGAAAATGTAAAAGAGGGGCTCTGGTAGATAATTATGAACCATGGGCTGTTTCTTCCCTTGTGATGTGAAGACAGCTCTCTTGATTGTTCTGGCCGAACGACTCCCCGCTTTGGATATGCTTTCTCTATGATTCTTGTCCTCTTGCACTTGCAGCCTATGGCCTACATGTCTAAGCATCATTTTGTTCCTCTTCGGCATCTCATTCTTTAGATGACTGTAAAAGGAAGCTCGCCTAAGCATGATAAGCCCCCTTCACATTCTAAGATGGATTGTACCATATAACTTGGAGCCTTCTATTCAGAGCCTTTTCACCATGATGTCGTCAGTCTGTACTACGGGACCAACAGCAAAGTCATGGGTGCCGCATGCCTTGTACCCCCACTTCTCGTATGCTTTTTTCGCCCGGTGGTTCTCTTGCCAGACACCCAACCAAATGTATTTGAATCCTTGATCCCGAGCCATATCCTCCAACTTGCTCGCTAGGAGCTTGCCGGCGCCCGTGCCGTGTGCTTTGGGATACATGTATATGCGTTGCAGCTCGACAAGCCCGTCGAGGTGGTTCAGGCACGGCTCGGATGTGCCCCGAGTGAGCATGGCGAAGCCCAAGATATCGCCCGTTGAATCAGTAGCCATGATTGTGTCCTTGTTTGGATCTTTGAGATCTTTCATGATCGCCTTGAGGCTGTAAGCCTCGTCGAGAAATGCTTGCAGCTCATGCGGCTCAACTGAATGACCAAACGTAACCGTAAATACGTGCGCGCCAAGTTCGGCGATCGCTGTGGCATCAGCAAGGGCAGCTGATCTGATAGCTGTCGTAGGCCGTTTGATTTCCTGGCTTTCTATAGACCTCTCCATGGTTGTGGGAGTTGAAGACGAAAGCAGTTTATGATGAAACGCCAAGCGAGTGACGAGGTGACCAGCGTAGAAGAGGGCCGGGTTATTACTTGAATGAATGACTGGGGCTCTTGAGTGACCCAATAGCCTGGCTGCTAGGCTTTGCAGAAATACTCTGTTTCGTAGCAATGTCATCATTTGCGCTAGAACAGCGTTATATGTCTTGTCAAATCAGTGATTATAAAAGACACGTTAGCACATAGACTTACGTCGATGTCAATCAGCCTGTGACTGATTCATTAACTCTAGCATGTGCGCCCTGTTGTCAACACTATCCCTGATGAGGTAAGTTCAAATGACAGGCCCACAAGCTGATTGCGCCTTTTGCTTGACATTGATGCGTCTTTCATGGATGATGAACATGCCACCATAAATTAGTACAAAAGAAAATTCCTTTTTTTTTGTCTTTTGATAATCTCAAGAGGGATTCATCTTCTTGTGCTTGTATTATGGGTTAAAACACTTGGCGTTCAAAACAATGAACATAAGGTCTGTGAGTGATCAGTCACAAGCGAAACTATCATCAGAGGCTTGCAGATGTTTTAGAGTTTATTTTTGAGTCCTATATTCCATTCTGGAACAAACACGAGCTATTTTGATGATGATGATTGGTAGACGAGTATCGAGATTTAAATTAATACGGAAATTTAGTTTTTCCTGAATGGTTTTACCGTATCTCAAGTCGTTCAGGCTTGTGCTGACTTTTCTTCCACCTTGTTTCGTCCTGTGCCGAAAATGACAATACAGCAGACAGCAACACTCGAGGCTGCAACAAACAGGGCACTCATAGTCGAAAACCAACCCACGCCTATTCCATCGATGCCCGGGAGAGCTACTGCTGTAGCAATAGCAGCAAAGGTGTAACGTATAAAGTAGTTACCAGCTATTTCAGCTGTCAGCCAAGACCTTTTCAATAAAGGGAACTATATCTCTTACCCATTACCTCTGCCGCTCTATCGCGGAAGACGTCCAAGCAGTAACTGTTGAGGGAAGGGAAGCAAATCATTTGAGCAACACCTTGCACGAACATACAGATAACGGGAAGAGGAATGCTGCCTTTGGCTTGGTCAATTGCCCATCCATAAATGACGATGCTAACGGGAATGAGCACACCCATTGCGACAAATGAGCTTCGAAGTCGGTCCTCGGGCACACGCTTTCCCCGTTTAGCGATCCATCGTTTGACGGTTCTGTCGGCGTATCGACCGCCAAAGAAAGTTCCGACGAAATAACCTGCGCCAGGTGCGAGAAAGAAGAACCCCGATTGCAACGGGGAGGTAAGATGGAATCTTGGATTTATGACGTATCGTACCGGTGTCAGGAGGACTTGCATGTTCCACATCATTGAAGATGCGGCCACTCCCTATTCTTTTGGTCAGCCGGGAATGCACGAAAGGCCAGGCTCTAGCAGGGTTGCCCAGCCATTCGTTCAAATCATGGCACAGAATAACTAGTGTGCGGTCTGTTCCCTCTCTAGCTCGGAAACCCAACTCCAATTATTGACGGGTGTTGAAATTTCACAGGAGTGAAGACTTACCACAATTAAGATTTTCGGGTGCTTGAACAAAGCAATAACCCGGAATGGATTCGCCCACTCCCAAATTTGGCCGCACTTCTCCTTCATCGTCAAACCCTCCAACTCTTCTGACCACTTTCCGTGTGTGGTTTCCGGTAGAAAAGCGATAGATAAGACCATGGCGACGCCCCCTACGGCACCCTGAAACCAGAAAAGGGTTTGCCAAGTCGAGAATGTTATGATAACGCCTCCAATGAACGGCCCAAGGGCCGGGCCGATCAGAGTACCGCCCAAGAACCATCCCAAGGCCGTACCACGCTCAGTCGGTCGATACACATCGCTCAGGCAAGCTGATCCGACTACGAGGAAACAAGTTCCAGCGAATGCGGTGATGGACCGGAAAATAAAGAAAGCTGGAAGGTTGGGAGAAACCCCAGTCGCAAACGAGAATGCGCAGAATAGTACTGCCGATGTGACGAAGATCTAGAACATTTAGTTGGACCGACTGAGAGCAAACGAACACAGTTGCCCAAGATTTTGGCAGCAGCTATGGTAAGCAAAGGCGGAAATCTTACCCATTTTCTGCCATACACCTGTGACAATGGCCCCCAAAAAAGAACACCAATGCCCATCATCAACAGGAAGAGGGCGTTGGAAAAGTTGATGACGGTTCCTGATGTGTTGAATGCAGCTGATACCTCGGGCAAGGCCGACAGAACGAGGAGGGCCGCCAGGTTGATGGCGAGTCCGCCAAATGACACGATGGCTGTGATCAATGCCTTGTGGGCGGGTGTGAAGCGGTCGTACACTGTCTCATCCTCACGATAAGAATATGGTCGGCTGGGGGTCTGCGCAATGATATTGACACCCTTCTCGGCGTTGGATGTTTTCAGCGCCAACAAGTCTGGCGGCATTTCGTCCTTCCTTGTGGGCACTTCTGACAATGTGTGTTCAGACATGATGAGCGGGCTGAGGAAGACTTCGCTTCCAATATGAGACAGATGCCACAGTACTGCATGTGTTTTGCGGCATTAACAACTGAAGTTCAATTAAATGGCTTTGACGTAAGCGAATAGACAACCAACGAGATAGGAAAGGAACAGGTCTTGGCGAGGAAGATGTGTCCACCAAGCGAACAACCGATCTTGAACTGATCCGGAGCTGAGAGGGGGTTATGTCTGTATATAAGCGTGAAGCAGTTGGCGAAAACTCGGTCGCATACCCACATGGCTTTGCGGATCCGAAGTCGGGCACCAATTACACCATACAGGTCACCTCTGCGACGCACCAAAGATACTGCTTTCATGGTATCAAGGTACACATAAGGCGGTCACCACCCCCTCGTAGAGTCGCACAGGTGCACAACGGTAGCCATGCACAGTCGGTCATTAAAGTAAGCGAATTACCTTGCTAGGAACGCAACACGATCTAAGCTTTCTAGACTATGCCTCCCTTTCAACGAAGGCAGAGCTTATGGCTGTCACGGTGTTGTCCACAATTCTCAGAGGAAAGCCCATCCGGAAGTGTTTCCTTGGACCCTAAGACCCCACCCTACAACTCGGACCACCCCCCAAGTTGGACCATGTGTTCACATTGACTATTTTCCCCCTTTTTTATGCTTCTAGTAATTAACTACCTTTTATAAACTAAAATATCCTAGCAACAAAAAATTAAATTAATTCTTTTAAAAATACTAAATACTTTAGAATACTAAACTATACCCCTAAGTTACTTAAAAGGGTAATTAATAAAGTTTTTACTAGTAGTAGCTATTATAAAGTAGCTAAGTACTAAGGTATCCTATATATAACACTTTACTATTACCTTTAAGGTACTATATTAATTAAAGAGGCTAAAGCTAACTATTAATAGCTTAGTTAAATATAAGAAAAGTGCCTTATTAACTAGGCTTTATCCTAGGAGGCCTTTAGCTTTACACTTAGTTATTTATAGGTTAAAGAGATAGCCTAAAGAGTCCTTAAAGCTAGTAATAATTTATAGCTATTAGGTAGAAAATAGCTAAAAGGATTCTTATAAAGAAATCTAGCTATAAAGACTCTAAGAGTAAAAAAGATTAGCTCTAAAAGAATTAAGTATATTACTAAAGAGAAGATTAAGAAGCTTTTTTGCTTACTTATACTCTTTATTATTAAGGATATCCTATAATATTTATAATAAAATATAGATAAGACTAGGATTACTAAAGGGAAAGCTTAATAGTCTTTAGTACTAAAGAAGTCTAGTAAGTAATCTATATATATCTAAGTCTCTAAAGCTTATACTTAAATAAGTATTCTTAAGTATATCTCTATAAATAGTAAAAGATTACCTTTTTTAGTTATTTTTAAGAAAGCTTTAGTATAATAATAGTAGTTTCTTCTTAAACTTAAATCTTTTACTTAATAGTAGTTTATATTATTAGAAAATAGCTAGACTTTAAATAAGATAGGCCTTAACTAGCTTAAGACTATCTTTATCTTAGCTATAACACTAAAGGTAAAAAAACTTAATTCTAAGACTTTTCTTATTATAGATAAGTATAAAAGTTATATATTTAATAACTTTATATAAGAATACTTTTAGTAAAATATTTATTTACTTTACTTACTACCTTATACTAGCTATATTACTTAACTTTTTAATATTTTAGTTTTTTTTTTTTAAAGTAAGCCTATTAAAGAGAAGTCTTAGAGGTATTTATAGACCTAAGTAGTACTTTAATTAAGAAGTAGAACTTTTTTTACTATTATTTTAAAGTATTAAGAGAGGCCTTTATAAAGAGGAATATTTAAGTAAGCTAGTTAATAATAAAGTTATAGCCTATAAATATAGCTTAGCCTTTTATAAGTAAATTTATTAACCTAGATAATAATACTAATAACCTAAAGGCTCTAATATAGGATCCTAGCTTTTTTACTAAGCCTAGTATACTCTAATAGTTTACTATTAAAACCCCTTAAAGGTTAAAAGACTTAAGAAAGTATTAAAGTCTATAGGATCCTTAAGGGGAAAATAATAAATAGGATTATAATACTTAGAGACTACTCTTTATAAAGGTAAAAAAATAGCTTAATAATATAAACACTACACTAGTAGAGAACAGTAAAAGGATATAGTTACTTAAGGCCTAGCTAGACTATATAAAGAAGTATAAAAAGAGTAAAGTTACTATTAATTTAAATACTTATTTTACTACTATAGAGAGTATTATTATAGTAAAGGAAAAGGTAGCTAAGGAGTAAGCTAAGGAGGAGGCTAAGAAGACAGTAATTAAGGCAGTAAAAGCACTAGCTAAGGCAGAAAAAGCAATAGTAGAGGTAGAGGCAGTAAAAAAAAGAGCAGAAGTAAATCCCTCTTTATAATATAGATAGTTTAGTATTTATATAGGTTAATCTATATAATTAATAAATAGTGACTATTAGGCCAAAATAATGATTTTTTTGTATAGTCTAACTTGGGGGGTGGTCCGAGTTGTAGGGTGGGGTCTTATCTCCGGAAACTTGTGCTAGCGGAGCGTCTCCGCAGCGGGGAAAACCTGCAACTTTTTGCGTCTTGTGCCCTCCACTTCGGGTCAGAATCAGGCATGATATTGGACAAGGGAGACTACTCATGCTCCACAGAAGCTGCGGCTCCCTTATCTAACGTGGTGTAGCGTTCGGCATGGGGGTCTGATCTCTGTGAAAAAAATGAAAATACCGGCCATGAGACGGGCGCCCGGGCGTAGCGTGGGGGTGCATCAAACGCAATGGATTCCTTTGTATCGGCGCCGGTTTGGCGGCGGACGGGAAGAAAGCCGAGATCGCTGGCCCCGAGGTCGGTCGGATTGGAGGAACCAAAAGCCGTAATCTTTTACCGGACTCGGATCCGTTTTGTTCTCATTGTCTCACACAGTGATGTCCCAAAGTAATATTCATGCATCATGCTGGGCCACATCTAGTTGAGTCGGAAGCAGTAATCGGAGACCTGCCACTAGTTCTGTAGTGCCATAAACAACCTCGCCATTCGGTTCAATGTCAATAAGCCCACCTTGGTTCAGTGCATCGTTCGCCTTGGGCAATAGCTCAGCAAGGCTCGCGCTCATACCTCCCTGCAATGCCTCTTTCCATTGTTCTCGAGGCGCCACTTCAACTCCGATCTCCCGTCCCAACAGTTCGCTCAATGCCGCTGCCACATCCTGAACGCTATAACGCTGCGGCCCTTCAACGTGTATGATTTGCAATTCGTCGTCTCTGATGGCTTGTCGTATGATTTCGGGCGCAACTTTACCCACATCAGGCGCGGAAACAGTGGGAAGCAGACTGGAGGTCAAGATGGGGAAACTCGTAAGGGTACCAGATACGATAGCCGCTGGAATCGCGCGGTTCCAATTCTGCATATGTTCTGCAGAGCGGAGGATCACCTTATGGCCCTGGAGCTGGCTAATACGAGTCTTAAGGGTGCCACACATCGTCGGCATTCCAATGTCAAAACCGACATGCGCGCCATAGTCGGAGATGGCCAGCACTCGTTTCGGTTGAGCCTTCTCGAGCGCCAAAACAACGCTCTATATGGCATTGCGCAACTCCTGTGCTCCATCTCTTGCCTATAGCAATGGTGGAATGATGACCTGGACAGTTCCTGCGCCTGCTATCGCATTGCCGAGAGCATCGGCATCGTGAAGGTCAGCTATTGCGATTTCGCACCCAAGGGCTCTCAGGCGAGCCGCCTTTGAATGATCACGAAGGATGGCCCTGACTGGCACATTCGCTTGTCGCAAAGCTAAGGTAGTGGCAAAGCCAACTTTCCCAGCTGCTCCGATGACGGCGATCATGTTATTAGCTTTATTCTGAGCGAAGGATTTGATGAAGGGGTTGACATGAAGACATTCATAATTATGACTGAGCTGGATCGGTTCTCGCAGTAACTTTAGGAGTTGCAGTCTTATAGCCAGCTCATTTTGGGATGTTTTACAAATCTCATTGCCGGATATTAAGTCACTCAATAGTCCGAAGTCCGAGGGGCATCTTGATCCGAACGTCCTGGTCCAATCACGCTCTACAACAATAATTCAGGTTTATTACACTAGTGTCTATGGTAACTGCAAAGGGCAAGAAGTGGGCCCTGGAAGGATGCTATCAGACTGAAGAACAATAATTCGAGGAGTTAATATGACCATTCGAATACATGCCAACATTCTCTATAGCTCAACAGAAGAGGTACGGGTCACACTACTTCACTGGGTAACTGGCAGTGAGGTTTATAGGTACAAATCGAAAACCAGTCGACGATCCAACATCAAGCATTCAAGATGATCCGTCTGCCTGACCTGCTGCAGGGAAGGATCTGCAGCCAAGTAAACCAGAGTTTTTTCGACTTTCCACCAGATCAGCGAGTGAAATGATAGACCAAACCAACGAGTCGGTCGCACATTGACCGGCCTGAAAAACAAAAAAAGTGGCCGCAAAGTGTTGTCGCTCTCTGTAGTGTGATTGAGCGATAGGTGAGTGGTCTGAAGTTCCGGCCGGTTTATAATGCACAGCCAGGATTCCAGCACATTATCCTAGTACAAAAGTTGGGCGGCAAGCTCTTTCGCCTGGCCATGCAAAACCGGGCCAATGTAAGGCAGACTTAGACAAGATTGCACAACCAACCGTTAGTGGGTGGCCGCATGTCGACCAATATGCAGCCAGCCCCAAAATGGGGAGCGTGAACATATGTGGCAGTGCTGCTGGTCAGGTTCAGGCCTCAAAAGTTTGACCACGATGACCTTTTTGTTCATTCGCTGGCCTGCAGGTTGTACAGCCCAACCAATTTACCCTGGGCGTCTATGATCTTCGAGGTTGCAACTCACATATGTTTGCAAAAGGGAGCTGCAGTTGAAAAGGCATGGCATTTCCCGAAAATCTTTGTCTATTTTTTAACGTCATTTTCTGATCAACTTGCCCATCGCATCACTTGAAGCCCGGAACATCAAGCTGCATCGTTCGAAGATGACGAACGTTGACTTTCAGTTGCCATCGCTAGAGGATAGATGGACACATTGCAAAGCGCAAGATGACCAGAAGACATCTCTCATTTCGGTAAGCTAACATGACCGGTTTCAATCGGCTGTGGTTCTGATTGTTCCCGCTTAGGATTTATTCATCCACGTCAAAGAACTCACCGACAAGCTGTCCGAGGCTGAGTCAGAGCTCAAAAACAAGAACTTGCTTGTCAGATCGATGTGTGACACCGTCAACAGTCACAAGGAGCAAGTTGATCTGTTGCAAACGGCGAAGGTGAAATCCATTTCCGATTCTCGGGCACCCTCCAAGTGTTGACTTCGCAAGGACAAACATTGTTTTGCTTTGGTTCTGATTGATGGCGATTGCATGTCGGTAAGTAGACCCTGCAAGTGGCTTTGTGTGACTAGCGTTATTTACCTATCATAGTTCATGGACGACCTCATCGAGCAAGGCTTAGAGGGAGGCAAGCAAGCAATAAGATCTCTTAGACAGGCAGTAGCCTCAGAGTTGAAGTCTGTTGATCCCTCTCTACCCCATCACCTGCAATTGGTCGTTCGTGTCTTCGCCAATATAAAGGGTCTAGCGAAGACTTACACAGAAATGGGCATAATTCGTGATCCGAGTGTCCTGTATGAGTTTGTCAGAGGCTTCAACATGACGAATGCGATGTGCGAATATGTGGATGCGGGAAATGGTAAAGAGTGCGCAGACGAGAAGATGAAAGGTAATGACTTCTAGGTTCACATGTGACTGATACCATAGACTAATACTGTGCAGGAAACTTTGAGTTTGGCGTAGCCGACGTACATTGCCGGCATGTTTTGTTCGGTGCCTCGGCGGATAGCGGATACGCCCGTCTTCTGGGATCTCACCTCGAGACCGATGAGGTTTCGAAGAAGGTTATCCTGATAGAGGGACCTCCTTTTGCGAAAGAGCTGTCTGAGATCAGCGATCGATTTCGCGTCGCTTCCTTTGACAAAGTCTTTAGACGAAGAAAGCTCATCAACATCAAGCGCAAGGTACCGGACCACATCACGCCTCCTCCAACCCCGTCACCAAATTACGCCTCGGCAGCCGCAAAGCCTGTCTTGTCATCGTCGGCGCAAAGTTCGTCTCAGTCTCATCGCTCGATGAGCGTCTCGACACCACCCAGCAGGGGAGTATACCGGAACAGGGCTGGTCAGCGTGTCGACCCTCCCGTCAGTTATTCACACCAAGACTTTATCATTTTGAAGAGTAAAAAGTTGTGTAACAGTTTCCATCTCACCGGCAAATGTTACTACAAAGAGACGTGGGGGAATTGCAGTCATGAGCACGGACAATCCCTGAGTCCAAAAGAGTTGGACGCTCTCCGGGCCGTTGCCCGCCACTCATGGTGCCGTTCCGGCTCAAACTGCAACGATCCCAATTGCGTGTTCGGTCATCAGTGCCCTCAAGATGGCTGCAACGGGGCAGGTTGTCGGTACAACTTCCCATCGCATTTGCACAATATTGATAAGAAGATTATTGAGTAATCTATTGCAACTTGTGGGTTGCAAATGGACTATTATTTTGGAAAGGACTATGTCTCGTTTTGTCACCGCTTGTTCCGTTTGCTATTCTTGTTGCAAAATCTGATTTTCTAGAATATAAACGAAAAACTACATCATGTTCCCAAGTTGGCTAAATGAACGACTGGCCCGCTATCCAATGCTATGAGTAAATCATGATCCTAATCAACGCCCCGTATGCCCCGGCCAGCTAAGTAAATCTATGTTCAACCAATCCAGATACTCCCCTATGCCACAATTCCATACAACCATATCCTCCAATTGATGACATTACACTTATTCCGACTGTAAATACTTGATGCCATCCACAATCACTGAACCGTTTGTGCGGATCTACCGAAGCTGAAAGCACGCCAGGACGTTCGTTGGGACACCGGCCTGGCTTTAGTGGCCAAGCTAGCCAAGAAAGCGGGTGATACCTCTGTTCCGGACAACGAATCATCTGCACTCCTCCTCTTCCTGCCTTGCTTCTTTGCCTTTGCCTGCTTCTCGAGCTTCGGGACGTCCTTTTGCCTAGTACTCTCCTGTCTCAAGCAGGCATCTACGACGGACCTCTCAGGCAGCACCTCGGCCCCAGCCATCTCTCTCGTTGGCCACGGGAACGTGGCAGCCATTTCCTGAAGAGTGACCGGGTTCAACTTCTCCAAGATCTCTCGCAGCTGTGGCTCAAGATTTGCAACTTGCTCGAAAGCCCAGTCTTCACGCCTCTGGATCCTTACGGCATCGCGGCGCATCTGGCTGACAAGCCACTCCATTGCCACATGGTGCGGGATAAGGCGTGCGTTACGCATCAGCCAAGCCATCATGTCAGGATCGCCGGTCTGCCTGACGATTGGCAGACTACGACCACCGTGCTCGCGCTCTTGAAGCTTTTGCAGGAAGTCATGGTACAATCCTAGAGACGCAGTCTGGAGGCCGACGAATTGGCCATGCATGAGCGCGCGAGCAACTTCATCGGCCCATGCAATCCCGGCCTTCATACCAGAGTTTGCACCGCGGCCAGGCCAGAAGTGCACAGTCATCGCAGCATCGCCAGCAAGCGTAACTAGGCCGTGGGGTCGTCGAAGCGCGGAGGAGTCGCACTGAGGGAGCTGCTCGATTGCCTTGTTGATTCTACGGACCACGATGGGAATGCGGACAATGTTGGTGACTTCGCACTGCTTGAAGCCGTAAAGCTCGAGACCATCGAGAATGGCCTTCCAGAGAGGGCTGTCGGGTAGCTGTGAAGGAGCAAAGACCTGGTTTTCTTGGAAACCCTCGGGAAGACAGCCGTTGACCTTGAGGCAGCTTGGACGGCCGAATGTGCAGGGGTGGCCATCCACCGAAACCATTTGATGCCACTCAGTCTCGGTCAACTGCATGTTGAGATATCCAGTGCCATCAAAATCGCTGGCGTTGAGAAGATATCGGGTCTGGCCCAATGTCAGAATGATGTTAATGGGCTGCGAGAAAGGAAGTCCTCGAGGTCTGTTGAAAGCGACGCCGAGAGCATAGCTTTTGCCAACCTCTTCTTCCTGCCCCTGGAAGTATGTTCCGCGTAGCCACGAGCCAGCGCCATCAGCACCAAGCATAAGGTGGAAGTCGCCGTGGTCTGCCAGGTTCTCCCTCCTGACCTGAATAGCATGCAAGAAGATGAGATCCCTGAACTGGCTGTCCTGCGCACGTCTGAGAAGACCATCCTCGAGCTTCCGAATCTGCAAGTTGCTGGAGCCAGGCCAAACACGCTCGGGACATCCCCCAAAGACGGCCTGTCTTGTCCTGTCGCTCATGAGGTCGGTGACGGAGTCTTGGAGGGTGACGACCTGGTCACGGCGGCGAGCTGTAGGTGGGTAGCCGACGAAAGAAGTCCCAGCTTGCTGGGCCCAGCGGCCCTCGTAAACATGGACCTCGACTTTTGTGCCGGCCTTTTCAGCCAGGGCGATGGCGGATGCGAGACCAGTGGGCCCTCCGCCGACGATTACGATCTTGAGAGGCGCAGCAGGGTATTGATACGTAACAGGATCCTCGGGCAGTTGCGACAGGTTGCGGGCAATACTAGGGTCAAAGAAGAAGTCTCGCACAGACTTAGTCCTGGCCGAAGTAAGCGCTTGACTCTTGATGAGAATAAAGCGCATCCACTGCAGCAGCCGGTTGGTTTGGAAACTGGTGTGGCGACCGCCGAAGACGCGCTTCTCAACTGCAGCAGCTAGTGAAGCTACATCTCGGTATCTGTGGTGTGAAGCGATGATCCGGAGTTCACTATTGATTGCGGCGTCATCGCCACGGTAGAAAAAGAGGAATGCCTGGGCACGCTCGAAGTTGGTCTGACCAGCGGCCTCCCATGCCGTCTCCCAAGACCGAGGAAATTGGATGAGGTCCATGTCGGTTGACGAGAAGGGAAACGAAGTCGGACGGTTGAGCGCGGGGGAAGTGGTTGCCGGGGAAAAGCTGGATTGACTGCGGATGGAGCTGACATTTGCCATTGTAAACTAAGTAAAAAGGTTGATGGTCAAAATTGGTATAGATTGGATGTAAGAAGAGCCACCAAGGAAACAGAAAGATGATTGATAACGCCAGACTATGCGATCAGGAAAGTGGACAAAGGGAATAGAGTTAGATCGGAAACGGAAGTTGTTATTGAGATGAATGTGGCAGAAAGTGGAACATGATGAGATCTACCACCTGGATATATAGTCACTGCCTACTCAAGATGACGATGTGACGCCTAGGAGAGTAAAGATAAGAATAGCTTCAAATCTCAAGTCAACTTCTGCAGAGCGCCCAACAGGAAGGCGGTGCCATCTTGCGGGCAATGCCTGCAGACACCCGTCTTGCCTACTGCACAGTGTCAGCCCTACGAATGGTGGTGTACAACGTGTATTACCCAAGGCGAAGAGTTCGGGTCTGCCTTCTCGTGCCGAGTGGCTCGGGGTGCACAACGAGCAGGCAGCTTCATTGTTGAAGAGCGGAGGAGCTCATCCGTGACCCCAGCTCCCTACTGCACGAGAAACCCAATTTCCAACCACAGGAACCGTAGGTAGCATCGATGGATGGGACCCCAACTATTGTGCCGCACGGGTGCGCTAGTGGTACAATGCTGGCAATGCATATAAATTGAGGGCTTCAATACCATCACCAAAATGGGTTACCACATGGGAGACGCAGTAATCAATGGCCATGGTTGGCTCTATGACACCATGACACCAATCAGTTTTTACCTATTCCGGATGAACTGCTGCAAACCAAGTCTCGTCGCTGACCACCCACGCGCTCCTACTCTGTCGAAGTGAGTCAGCTTGATGGACGCCGGTTGAACCCGTGGCCCTAACATGAGTTACCCGCACCTCTGGCTAGTTTGGCTATACCCAGATATGCAGTGTGTGGTTATATTGGGACTCTCGTTTGCGCAAGACCGGCAGGAGAACAGGCTATAATGATAGGTCATGTATATTTAGTTGGACGTGGGGTTGCATTGCGTGGTACTTTTGCCCTCGCAGATGCATACATACCGTTCACGTAAATGGGTTCAGTCTTTCTGAATGCCTGAGCTATCTGTGTGTCTTCCCCAGAGGACGACAAGAAGAATGAGATTTGACTAATGGGGCGCGAAGAGACCATCTACATACTCAACCCCCTCTTGAAGGAGCAAGGCCACTATATAACGCGAACTTCCTTCAACCAGGCACATAGGATAACATGAATTTGGGAGAATGCTTGCAGTTTTATGCATATATTAATCTGAATGAATCCATTCACTGCGGCTAAGATGCATCGGTCAGAGACTCTCTCTGCCAGACCACCGTGCGATGTCATGTACCCGCCTGCCCTTCCACGTCGTTCAGCGTTTGCCAGACAGCTTATCCATGTTGCAGCCTGATGGTATTGATTGAAGAGAAACTGCGACCGTTGAGGGACTCTGGTGATGCCGAAAGCGACAAAGTCATGAGCTGTGGCTCTTCAATTTATCAAATCAATGTTGGCGTCGTGCAGTTGATGTCGGTGCCCAAATGGCGACTGATAGTGTTTCCACCTCCTGGTTCTGCCTTAGCGACAGAACCTGGGGGCTTCTCTGAACTAACCCCGCTGCGCGATAAATCAATATGGGCCATTTTCAACTCATCTGGCCGGATTAAGCTCCTGACTTTACGCCTAGGTTTACAACCCTTGGGTTACTTTCTTCTGGTGAATACCGGAGATAACTCACATTGTGTCTCTTACGCGCTCACCATGACCGATCTCAACGCCCGCGTTCGGCTGTGGGGCATCGTGGATCGGTTGAGTGGCGCTGAAACTTACAAGATTTGGGCTCTTTACAGACAGATTTTTTTGGCACTGTTTCTGCCTATTTCCTGTGCCTGAAACATAGCTATACATGGGACAAAAAGGCGTTCTCACGAGACACAGCATCCTGCTGTCATACATCACATCCATCCTTCCCACAGCAATGACTGCCTAACTCTGTCCCCTAATGCCAATCCCTGTGAGCTGGGATTATAGCTCTTACGACATCTCCTTACGTATGTCCGCCATCCCCGCACAGTTCATTAGACTTACACGAGTAGCCTCTAACTCTAGCAGCTCCAGTGGGTTGAAATTCTTCGCCTGGCTGTTAGTGAGTTAGTTCATGTTCTTAAGAGAGGTAACAAAGCTCTCCCTGTGGCCATCGACGGCAAGGAGGAATCGGGTCATCTCTCCCGCTTCCTGAGTCACAATCCAGCACGTAATACAGGCGAGATGTTCCCAGCCTGTGATGCTAGGGGCATTGCGTCTCCTGCGGTTCCGAACACGCCGCCAACATGAATAACTACTGACTCGTTATTTTGCGCTATACCTTACCATTCAACATAACTGTTGGTCAGTATGGTGGCTGCCTGCGCTTTTCTGGCTGCGCCGCAGGTGGCACTTCGATCGAGATCCCTCACTGAAGAGATGCCTGTTTCAAACATACTGGGTAGCGTGTTATTTCGTTGCTTCAAGCCACCTTGCTTTGCCCTGAAAGCAAATTGCTGATCTGATAGTACTATCTGGAAGCTTATCTAAATCTCTAGATATCTGATTGGTGTAATAGTGAGATTACCCAGGCTTCGGCCCCTCCCGAGAGAGGATGATACAGAATGATTCATAACGGGGCCGAGTGACTGTTCCTCCGAACCTTGAAAAGAATCCTTGGCCTCCCCCGGTTCGCGGATCTGTGCGGTTCAAGAGTCCCAAAAGTTGGAGCTATATATATATATATATATATCGCTTTCGTGATACATCGTACCAATTTATGAATAGTGTTTCATCTGTCTCTGATTTCTCACATACATACCGCTGCCGTAAACACATCCGAGGAGAACAGACAATGGCGCCAACATTGGCTGCGGACGCAGCCGTCCATCATATCGAAGCTGGTGGGAGAGTATTTCCAGAGAGACGATCAAACTCACCCACAACCTCCAAATTATCCGTAATCGATGCAACCGTTGCGCGTTTCTCTCCGACGGCAGCAATATGGCTCTATGATAAACCAAAGATTACAAGAACATCGCCAAACGATCTATTCAATACAATAAGTCATGCACTCAGTCAAACATTGGTGGATTACCCTCACTTCGCTGGCCAGATTCAGTGGGCCACTGAGGATCTCGTCAAAGATGACATTGTTCCGCGACATCTCGGTCGGCCCGTGGTGGTCCACGGCACCTCTGATGATCCTGGGGTCGAGTTGGTCGTTGTCAAATACGACATGAATCTCGACTGCGTCGTCCCTAGCCGGAATGAAAGAGCAGCTCGGTTGAAGGAATGGGACGCCTCAGGTTTTCCACAAAGAGACTTCCTACCACCAACGAAGATCGCGCTGATGTCTTTGGACGCTATCGATGGTTTGCCTGCGATGGCCGTGCAGTTGACTACATTCAAATGCGGCGGTTTCGGGATCAGCGCAAAGATTGCGCACCCCCTCGCGGACGCCATCACTCTGATGAACTTCATGCACTTATGGGCGGCGCGATCGAGGATGATTCTCGGCGAAGAAACTGAGCCGAGTGATCTCAAACTTCTTAAGCCGGTTTTCAATCCATCCCAGCTGGATCAGGTCGCTGAGCTACGTCACGGAAGTCCGCCTGACCCGGAAAAGATTGCAAAGGCCCGGTCGCTACCTATGCACCGCTTCGACTGGTGGGCGGAAGAAGCACCGGGGTTTCCGGTAGCTGTGAAGCCCAACTCACAGGCGACTATGCCTCCACCAGATGAACTGAGCAGGATAGAGTTGAGCCCGTCAACGTTCCCGCCCTGGGAGACGTGGGACATGGGTGCAACAGTGGATCACGCCCAGATTCGTTTCACCGCCGACGAGCTGGCACGGATGAAGGATGCTGCTCAGGCGAGTCTTCCTGACAATCTCAAGTCTCTCCGCATTTCCAGACTTGATGCTGCGCTGGGGCATATTTGGACCTTGATCAACCGCGCTCGTGGCCACCAGGGACGCAAAGAGAGTGTTTATATGGACATCACCCTCGGGCTCCGAAGCCGCGTCAGCCCGCCACTTCCCGGCAACTTTGTAGGCTCTCCGCTCTTACTAGGGTACATTGAGAAAAACGGCGACGACGCGGCCTCGCAAGAACTGGGCTCCGCTGCCGGCGCTATTAGGCACATGATGTCGCGATTCACCCCCGATGCTGTGGCTGCTTACATCCATGATGCTGCCCACGAGGTCAGTCCTCAGCGCCTATAGCAAGCCTTCCTCGGATCCCACCACACTCTGGTTACTTCTTGGGTCAAGGCCAGAACATACGAAGTCGACTTTTTGAGAACAGGAGATCTAGCAAGATATGCCCAAGGCGTGATGCCCAAGATTGATGGCTTGGTTCAAGTCATGGATGTCGCGGACACGGGGGACTTCGATGTCAGTCTGTGTATGGAGCACGATGCCATGGAACGACTTCTAAAAGATTCCGTACTCCGCCGATATGACGGCTCGGATGTTTAATAGATGCCCATGAAGAAATATTCACGATCATTCGAAACCTCGACCCCCTTAACATCATGAAAAATGATGGCAGCCATGAGCGATTCAAAACCAAGAAGTGAATGAAAGATGGGCATGCCCCAAAAGTAAGGGCCGATGCGTAGAAACATGAAAGCTTGAAAAATAGGATGGAGAAAAAACAGTCAAATAAACTGAGGATTGATGGTCAACTAGAGGCTATATATTGGTGTCAACTGGTCCAAGACAACATTTCGACCAAGGCACGTTCTTGTGGACCGCACCCACGATATCAGGTAAAAGCGTTATACTGTTTTGATCAAAGATTCTGGCTACATCAACAGAAAATGTCTATTTCGATGATATGCTGATACCGATCAAGAGTTGAATCAACAACAGCTGCATGAACCGTGAGGACTCATCTTCATCTTTAACAAGGAGACAGGATCCTGTGTAGTACAAAACCCAATCGATTTCCGAAATCCGGGACGGTTTCAAAGCCCTCAAAAACTGGAGTTAATCTAAAAGAGATAATTAGGCCTTAAATTGCTTTAGTTATAATTCCAATGAGCCCAGTCATGTATGTGATTGTGGGCCGTTTTCATGGCCGCAGAGGTATGAACATAGGGATACAATATATACAAGAGAAAAATCATTATTACGTCGCTTTGAGTCATTACCAATATGGTTCAGTTTGTCAAAGATTACACTGTTACACGTAGAGGTAGCACAGAGGCGAGCCGCTCAAGGTATTCAGCACATCACTGATGGTGGCGCTTGCGGCGGTCACACCCATGTTAAGGATATCAGTCTTGAGGGTACTTCGACTAGGGGGATTGTTGTTGAGGGTGATTGTGCCGGCAACGTCGGAGGCTATCCCCCCCAAGTGAAGGGCCTGCCACAGCCAGTACACACGGTCGACCATAGCGTGGTGTAGGAAGAAGCTGGGATCGACGACAGAGGAGAACAAGTCGCTAGCATCGCCGTTGACGGAGAAGTGGCCGGCGGCGTGCATGCCGAGGAACCCGTCGGCGAAGCGGCCCTGCAACTCGTTCTGGAAGAGCTCGATGCTCCGGGATGCTTGGCCGAGGGTGATGTTGAGCAGGTTTTGGTTGGTGAACCAGTTCTTCGCGACGTAGCTGTTCAGGTCGCGGGTGAGGCAGCGAGGGTTGTAGCCGAGCCTGCCGTCGGGGCTGGCCTTGAGACCGTCCATGCTGGGGTTGACGGGTCCAAGGTTGGCAGTCATGCTGTTGTTGAGAGGTTAGTCAACGATGAACACAAGTCCAAACGAACATTGCAGATTGAAGCTTACTTCTTGAAAGGGCCGCTGACAATGCAACCGCCGCCGTTGCCGGACGGCAAGGGGATGGCACCGGCGCCGCCGCGGCTGCCGTTGTGCTTGACGAAGGCGCCGTCGCCGCTCATGCTGGTTTCACTCCCGTCGAAAACAGGGGATTTGGTAAGATCGTCCTGGTTCTTCATCCAGTTCCAGTACTGTGGTAAGACGATTAGGTCTTATCCAAAGATTCTCCCCTATTAGCTACGGGTTTCACCTACAGGCTGAGCTCCCTTGTAGCCACACTCATTGCGCAGAGCTTCTTCGTAGGAGTGGACGAAATGGCGATGCCATGTGAGGAAGTTGCCCTGTGTTCGAATGTCAGATTAAAGACCAAATTTGAGTTTGCTATAGCACGACTTACCGTTCCGTGGATCTGAACGGTCTGGTTGATGTGCACGGCGACAAAGTCGTCATAGCGATTGCGGGCACCCGGGGCGAACGCAGGGTCTGACTTGGACGGCAACGTCAACATGCACTGAACGGCGCTGATGTATCCCTTTTTCTCAGTGGAAGAGAAAGAAGCCCTATGCAAAAGATCATGTAAACATTTCACTGGATCCTACTAGACTCTCGCAATCGGCATAGTTTGATAGGGGGTAGCTTACCAATCCCGGCGGTAACGAGCGTTGAAGATGTTGCAGCTGCTTCGCTTGCTGCCGGCACCAGACTCCGTGAGGGCGGCCATGGCCTGTTTGGTGAGGTCCGCCAGGACATCGTAGATCTCAGCGGGCTCAACGGGAGCTGCGACCGTCGTCGCACTCAACAGGCCAACGGCCGCAGCCATTACTGTCATGGGATACATGATTGGTGGTTCAGAACTTGCTCGGGGGTAAAGAGACCGCGGGGTAAATGGACGAAGGATCAAAAGAGGAAAGTCGGGGAGAAAAGAAATGTAACCCAAGTTACATCGGCAGTGAGGGAAGCTGAGACGGATGGGTGCCCCCAGAACATTGTTAGAAGACGGCTTCTAGACAAATCTCGTTAACTAATATATGGACTGCTATCCGGCGTTATGATTAGATTAAAATCGCACCGTTTAAGGTAGACCAGTGGCTATGGCTAATTGCTGCAGGACTCTAGGTCCTTGAAGCGGGCGTGATAACCGGACTAAGAGGGGGAAGCCCTCGATATGTGGGACATATGGCGGAAGACCCCCCTTTCTAGGGACGAAGAAGCGGGGGCCAAGGTAGAAAAGAGGGCCAGAAAATCCAACGTTTTCGTATGGCGGATATTCGTGGGGGGAGGGCGTTCGATAAACCAGATGCAAAGCCCATGACGCCGGGCCAGACAGCCAGGAAAGGCAGCCGTCTCTCTCGGGCTAGGCAGGGCTGATGGATGGGAGACAGGGACTGTGACAGGGGATATGTGTTCCGTCGCCATCGCTTGGAGATGACGGAGATTAAACGGCAACTAGCACCGGGGAAGACGAAAAACTGATGATGGATCGCGGTTCAGCTCGAAGGGCTCTAGAAGCTTGGAAGTCGGACGTAGCATGAGAGCAACATGGACTTGATAAACTAACTACCTTGATCTTCTCGACATCCGAGACACAGACGCGAGGTTGGCAGGGTGGCGTTCATCGGCCACAGTCAGATCTCACCGAGCCCACTCGAGCCTCTCGTCTGACCAACTGATCCATGACTGACTGGGTTCTGCTCTTCCCGAGTTCTCGCCATGTTCCCACTGTTCCCACTCTTTTGCGTGCCCTTGGGTCCCGTTTCCCTTCTTCTTCTCGGATGATTCTCCCGACTCCTCGGTAGCTTGAAATCCCAAACGATTGACCGATGACCGACAACCGCCAATGGGTGGTCCATCCCCGTATTCCTCCTTTGGCGCCACCGGAGCCCTCAGTCAGGAACGCGGCTGGCGATTCCCCATTCGGTTCTCATGCCGAGTTCTCCGCCCGTTAATGCTCATAGTGCCTTGGACCCCAGCCGATGCCCAGGATGCCGAGAGCGGCTGTAATAATGAATTGTCACAGAACCGGGATTGCAAGAGCCTAACTTTTGTTGTAAGCGGAACGGTCCTATGAGCAGCACACTATGTAATCAGGTCCATTGGCATATCTGATGCTCTCGCGAACCGGTCGCGTCTCCATAGTCGGCCCGGCCATGTGGGAAAGACGATTTGCGAAGCCCACTCAACAGACTAGCGCCGCCCGCTTGCGTCAAACGCTACAGATTTTCGCAAAGTGCTCCACAGCGAACAAGGCAAAATCCCGCTAGAAGCTTTCGAGACGAACGAAAGACTGGCCTCATCTGCTTCGAAACTCGCAGGGAAATACGCGTGCTGGGATGGATATACTTCCCTGCATAGTAACGCATATAACGTTGCAGTGGAGATCGTCGCACCTTCCTGAGACGGTCTGGAACAGCCATGACAGACGCGGCTTGGGTTTGGCTGTCGTCCAATGATGCCGTGCTCATTTTAACCGGTTATGGACGACCGTTTCCCCTCACGAGCCCTGCAAGTCTGTCACTGTGATGTGGTGTTCCCCTGGGCTGGATCGGCCTAGTCTCTGCAGGTAGATGAGTTCCCCCGTTCTCAGCACGAGGACGGTCCTGGAGACTGTTAAAAAGATTACCGAGATCCTCTCGTTGGGCTTTATGCCCGTCCTTGTGAACTTTATGACTCTTTTACGACCTCACTCTCTCGTACGCGCGCGCTATCATCGCTGCAGGCGTTACTGCTGCTTGCCGCCATGTCTTCGACCACGAACGTCGACCCGGCGCGCGCCAAGGAGAGCAATACCGAAATGATCCTGGCCGTGACGGGGTTTTTCCACGCGCTCGCTCTCCTCTTCGTCGGTCTCCGAACATACACACGCGTCATCATCGTCAAGTCGATGGGTATCGACGACTACATAATGATGATGTCTGCGGTATGGCGTCTTCTGTAGGCCGAAGCGTGATTCTGGTGCTGACTCTACAAGCTATGTGCTCTTGGTGGAGGAATGGCCGTCTTTGTCATCCAATCATTTCACGGCCTCGGCAAACATAAGGACACCATTAGCAAGCCAGACAATGTCTTCTTTCTGAAAGTCGGGTTTTTTCAGTCCATAATTTCCGCCATCGCCGCGTTGGCATTCCTCAAGATATCTATTGCCATGTCGTTGCTTCGACTAAGCAGGAACAAATGGTATTCACGAGCCTTATGGGCACTGATCGGTAAGTCCACGAGCTTACGACGGTAGAGGCTGATGCCTTGCGTGAGGTTTGTTGACACACGCCTAGTTTTTGTCATTCTGTATACGATCATGGCATGGTTGAGCTTTTTCTTGTACTGCACGCCATTGGAGGGTTATTGGGACAGGAGGTTGAAGCCCAAGTGTTACCCCCTCAAGTTGTTCATCAACTTTGCTCTCGTCAATACTTGTATGTAACAAGTCATGACTCCACAGCCGCCTACCGTCATCTCTAACCAAATCGTAGCATTCAACATTTTCACCGATGTTTGCTTTGCTACTCTGCCCATCCCAATCATTTGGGTGCTGCAGATGAAGTTGCGCACCCGAATTTATCTGGTCGGTATTTTGAGTCTTGGCTATATGTAAGTCAACTAGCTCGTTCTAACATTCTGCGGTTCTGGACTAATAAGCTATCAGAGCTGTTATCATGGGGATCGTCAAAGCTTTCTTCCAGATTGCCCAACCAGACAACAAAGACTCCACCTTGTAAGTCGTCAAAGAGAATACGAGAAGACTACAGGCTGATAACAATGAAACAACAGCCTCCAAAGTATACAATTCTGGGGCTTGTAAGTACCACACCGGCTGAAGCTTTGCTGCAACGGCGTCAACTAACATTGCCGTTTCCCAGCCTCCAGCTAAATCTCGGCATCATCGCCGCTTGCGCGCCATCATTGAGGCCCCTCGTCGGCCGCGTCCTGAAGTTAAACGCGGGCCGCCTCTATAATGACGCCAACCTCTACGAGAACCGATACCCGACTGGCCCGACTGGTAGAACTGTAACAATCACTGCGAGCGCCAAGAGACAGGGATATAGGGAGCAAAGCAGCCAGAGCAGCCAGAGCGCGCCGGATTTTGAGCTCGAAGAAGGGAAGTTCTCGCAGAGCGCAGAGTCCCGGCGCCAGGCGAGCATCAGGGGCAAAAGCCGACCGAGAGCTGTGCCGGTGTACCAGAAGAACAGTCTGGAAGATAGGTCAGGGAGCGAGGAGATGATCCTAGACACGGACAGCAGGGCTCCGGGGAGCAGGGGCATCATGAGGACGACGGAGGTACACATTCAGCGCTAAAACGCAGAAGTCTTGAAAACCGAACAATCCGAACACATAGCCGTGATGGCTGGGTAACACCAAGTTAGCTGTTGGTGTAGGCCGCATGCGGATTTAAAACATTGGGCTTTCCAGCACGGCTGTGATGATTTGTCCTGCCACAAGTCGCTAGTCCGTCCTAGGACATGGCCGACTTCAGCCCTACTGTACCGACTCTGGGGCGGTGTAGTTCATTTCCTGCCCCCTTCATTGACATTGGTACCTGGTGGTGCCTAAGCGCCGGCATTTGAGCTCAGCTCCCGGACATATCATTTTCAATCTTATCCCAGCTCGGTTCCATCACTCGACTCGTCTTACGTGTACGAACATTCGACCAAACCCACTGCTTCACTGGGGTGGAGTATCATTGACATCTTGCCATTTGTTTACCTCAATACTGACCTCGAGGCTCGAGCTCATTGAAAAGGCGAGATAAAAAGAGACGGACAACTACTACACCATATGACGGTACCCAGAGTTCATGAAAGCAGGGGCATTCGACCCTGTGAGCCAACTAGGCCGTGGCTCAGCCCTCTTGATACCCTAGTCCTTATGCTGACTGGCGTCGACGAGATGGCGTCCCTCAGCTGAGAGCCAACAGCGCCATTGCACAAGCTAGCGGCGCTCATTGGTCCCGGTTTCACGGGACGACATGAAAGATACATGGCCCAAGGGAGGTCAAGCGGCCTCCTTGACAGCCATAGTGGCTAGATCACTGGAAAACGGCGAACCATCTTTCGTTGTGATGTGATGGCTCCGGCATTCTCTGGCTGTTGTCCGGGTGTCTCAGAGCGACTGCGGTCCCGAGACATGTGGCGCCTGGTTCTTGGGCTAGCGAGGAGAAGGAAACTAGTCGCACGACGGATACAGACAGGAGGCTTGTCATGCCTGTGCCTCAAAAGGCGAACGCTCCCCTGACCACGGGGAGGTGGAGGGTATTTTGAGCCTGAGCTTGGCGATCCTCTTAGCTGTATCCATAACGACTGTTTGAGAGCACAGCATCCGGATCACTGTTGGGTATGCCTTGATCCAGAACCGCGGAAAAGATGCACCAACCACCCCCGGCTGACCAGTCGACATTTGGGTCGCTGGCGCAGTACAACTTGCAGGCCACGGCCGACGACGACGATGAGGAGGAACACTACGAGTTGGAGAAGATTCCTCCCCCGATCCCAAAAAGACCCAACTACCGGCCGAAACCGCTGCGATGGCCCTTCATTGTTTGCATCATTGCCATTCTGACTGTAATGATGGCTCTGGTGGTGTACGCTTGCGAGACGATGCCCAACTCCGACAGCACGGCGACCATCCTGCCTCGCCATGTAATACAACCACGACAACAGTCGAGCTCTGCGGGGCAGCGGTCCTCGGTCGTGGAGCCATCGCCGTCTTCAACGTCTGAACCGACGGCGTCTCGTTCTCAAGTCAGCATCGTTTCTTCTGGCAACGGAGAGTTATCCACAACGTCGGAGCAGAAGCAGCTCCCATACTCATCATCGACTCCGGTGCCGCCTGCATTATCTCAAGCCAACACACAGCAGGCTTCTTCGTCCTCGAACTCCGTAGTAATTCCTAACAAATCAACGTCAGAAATCATTTTATCGAGCAGCCCTGGTGAGAAGACAGATACCCCCGTCGCGACTATGATATCGGAGCGAACTTCGGGCACATCTTCGTCTCAGCCGTCAATTACAGGCAAGGTAGATGAGAAAGCGTCAGATACAGGTACCGGGGCAGCAAGCCAAACTTCGCTACCCCTTCCATCCTCGGAGAGGTCAGAAAAACCGTCTTCGAGCGTTATTAATGGCTCTGATGCTTCGACCCAGTCCATCATGATCGCCTCAGAGTCAGAGGACGTGAGGCAAATGAAGGGCTCCTCTGCGTCCATATCCACAGTCTCCGGAGCGAGGAGTGCTGTGGTGTCCTCAAGAGGCCTGACAGACCAGCGCAAAGCGCAAGGTACTGGGACCACTACCTTGTCTATGACTTCTACCCTGTCATCTACATCTATGAGCATCACTCAGAAGCCCACCGACAGCGATGAGTTGATATTGATAACCACGTCAACGTTCACCTCAACTCTGACGAGTAACGGTTCGACGGTCACCTACAGCACAAACTATACATCGTTTGTGTCTTCTACGTTCACAACCCTCATCCCAGCAACATTCTCTGACGGGTCTCGCACGGGTTCAGCCACCGCAAGCGCAATCACCCGGACAACAACGAGAATAGAAGTGGGCACCAGCTTCATGACCACCATGAGCTTGCCGATGACCACAACTCGAGTCGTTCCCATCGGCGATGGTCCGGCAGGCTCTTCCCTGACAACCACCCAAACGACGACCCGCGTAGTAACTTCAGCCGTCGTGGTAACTCCAGGAACCGTCATCGAGGTAACGACCGAGTTTCCAGAGCAGACTCCGGGTGGTGATGACGACGTGCCAGCATCGACAGGCTTCTATACATCTGTCGGTGTCACTGTCATGCCGACCACCGTCGCGACCATGGCCACATCGACAGGGCCTGACGTGGTGTATGTGTCAGTCGGGACCACGGAGATAACAATAGTGTCCACCGTCCGTCGAGAGTCCGGGGGACAGCAGAACGCCAACCCGACTCCAGTCACCCATATCATCACCAGCATCTTTGACCAAAAGATCGTGACAGTTGTTGAGACTGGTGCACCCCAAAAGCTCGTAATCACCGACGGGGGCGTTTTTACGGCGGTGTTCACCCCTCCACCAGAGACTATTGTGACGAGAAAAGGCGGGCAGGAAACTGAAATGGTCATCACAGTGACCCCGTCCCTGGACGTGGCGTTCGTCGCTGTCCCTACCATTATTTCTGGGGAAACCACACTCCTGGCGGTTGAATCCACGCTTGGGGCGTTCGGACCAGTATCGCTCACCCTCGTTTCTCAGGTGGGTGGCAGCACCGGCGTCTTCACGACTACCGATCCGCCGGAGACTATCAGAACCATAATCGACGGGGAGGAAACCACGATAGTGCGAACCCCGGCCCCAAGGGAGTACACTTCGGTCGTTGGAGGTACGCCGACAACGGTTGAGGTCGTCACCACGCCCACAGACACCATGCCGATGTTATTTACTGTCATAACAACTATCGGTGGGAGCGTCAGCACCATTGTATCGACACCGGTGCCGATAACTTTGGTTACGTCGATCTCGGGCAAGCTCAGCACAATCACCTCGACACCCCGCCCAACTACCCGCCTGTCAACGATAATGGCATCGACGGTGACATTCACTTCTGTCTCTAGCCCAACAATGACAGACTCTGCCGACACTGTCATCACCAAGGTCGAGAGGGTTGGTTTCACCGGCGGAGACTACTTTGTCGGCAAGTTTCTTCCGGTTATCCTAGCCGTCGTGATTGCAATTCCACTCCGGATCATCGATCTCAACGCGAAGCTATACCAACCCTTCTTCGCAATGGCGCAGGAGGGGGGCGCGCTGGGGAGAAACAGTCTTACTCTCCAGTTTGACGGATGGACGGGCTTTTTGGCACCGTTCAAGGTCCTTATGCAGGGGCATCCGGTACCGTTTATCACGACTTTGATGTTGTGGTCATCGGCCATGCTCACTCCATTGGCTACCGAAGCAATCGGCATGAAGCTTCACGGGACGTGCAAAATCACCGCCATTGAAGGCTGCGGCATCCAGCTCGGCGTCTCGACGTTTTCGGCTCGCGCACTCATCGCCATGATTGCGTTTATCATCTTCCTACTCCTTGTCCTCCTCTATTTGCTACGCAACTGGGAGACAGGCCTCCACGCGAACCCCTGGAGCATTGCAGGAGTATCGTCGCTAGCTAGGAACGCCAGCATCCGGTCACAGATGATCGACTTCAAGGCAAGCGAAAAGGCCATGTTGGAGAAAAGATACATGCTTGGCTACTTCGAGAACGACCAGGGCAAAGACGAGTACGGTATCATTTACTACGATGACTCTTCTCAGAACTTACAGGCAGCTGGGTCCGGTGCACTGCCCAACGACGACGAGCTAGATGGAATAAATCAGCGCAACATTGGGAAAAAGTCCCACAAGCCTATTCCGTTCATTGCGCTGACGTACTGGTGGCGATTGGGCTTCATATTTTTCCTTGCTTCACTGTTCATCTTGATTCTGTATTACCACGTTACACTCCAGGTTCGAACTTCCTTTAAAGAAGCAACGGACAGTCAGTCTTGGGGTGTCAGATTCTTCCTTTCGGCATTAGGAGTCATTATTGTTTTTTGCTGGGAGTCTATCTTCGTCAGTAAGTTTGTTTCTGTACTGCCCTGGAAAACACAAGGTTCGTCACTAACGAGGGGACTTTTAGGCATCGCCATCATCAGTCCATACTATCACATGGAGCGTCAATCGCAGCAGCCTGAGTCGTCGATACTGCTGACCCGACCTACAAACAGCTTTTACGGAATTTACGCTGCTGTCCTCGAAGGCAATGTTGTCCTTATGCTTGCGGCGTTCATGGCAATATTAGCAGAGTTTCTTCCTATTCTTCTCACCAACATTCCGTACAATCTTACACAGACGCTTTCCACCCATAACATTTGTGCGGTCACCAGCATCTCGATCCTGGCGCTTATGATGGTAACACTTGTGGCCAGTCTATTTACCAAGTGGCCTGACATGCCAGTTGACCCTCGTAGCATCGCGGGTGCCATGTACTATATCAATGAGAGCAGGATGTTGGAGGACTTCGAGGGCCTATCGAGATTGGATTCTGATGACAGGGAGAAGAAGGTCAAAGAACTGGGCAGGAGGTACTTCTATGGCGCCATAAGCGGGAAGGATGGGAGGCGTATGGCTGTTGATTCGATTGAGAGCGTTGAATGTACGGCATATACTGGTGTGCGTTGGCTTCTGCCACAAATTGAAGGGAACCAAGAGGGGGATCGTCAGGAGTATCATGACGAAGAATGTTCATCTGAACATGGAGTAGGAAGCCATGAGGCGGATCACGACACTGAGCATGAAGGGGCGAAAAGGATGAATTATAGGGAGGTGGGACTGGTGTGAAAACTCTCGGTACATATAGTAGCGATTTCGAATAGTTAACAGATGCTTAATTAAACATTATTGAAGAACAGAACTCATGATCTCACAGCTGTCAGAAATCGAGAACGCGTCCTTCCTCCAAGCCACCTAGCAGCGAATGACCGGGGCATTGCTGGCTAAGCCGCCGATAAAGAATGTTCCTAGCCATATGCCAGCCAAAACAGAGAGAAAGTAGCCGATATTCATCGTCATAACAGCCAGCATCCTATAACATATTAGTACGGCAGAGGGTTAAAAATTGGGGTGTCAACTCACAGCAAGTAACCAATACCCCCAACAATGACTTCGTATGTGGCCCTTGCCGCCGCGGGGCCAGCCCGCCATCCCTTCCATTCTTCAACGACGTCTGTCCTGGCGACTACACCGGGCTCCCCGGCCTCGCCGCTCTCTGCATCCTTAGCAGTTTCGCTGACTTGGGTTGCGTGCGTCGGCGAGTTCCTCCGGAGACGCTCATCCAGAACCGGCTTAAGGGCAAGGAGTATGCGGAGAATCGAGGCGAGGGTGATGAGGAAGATGCAGGTGCCGGCGTATTGGCCTTTGTTTCCTGGCATCCACGCGTCTGAGTAGAGCGGAGTTTTAACAGATTGGAAGAACGTCATGGTCATGTCAGCCATCGACATGGACATGCCGCCGCTCGACATGCTTCCCGAAGCTGCACCGGCCGAGGTTGCCATTGGCATCGCCATGGATGTCATGGTCGCTCCGCCCATGTCCATGTCCATCGTTTCCTCGGCTGGTTATTCGGGGGGTTATTTTTTTTCTAAGGGGCGTCGTGATCTGTTTCGAAGGCGGTAGTCTCGAGGTCTTGAAATGTTGTCTTCGTGTCTGCGTGTCGCTGTGTCTTGGGAGGATATGATGGGCTTCTCGTTTGTTTGAGGAGTCGAGTGTCCGGGAGGAGATTGCTACATTTAACACAAAAAAACTTAACCATGGCAACAAATATTAACGCTTTTCAGATACCCGACAAGAGCAAGTTTCTCTCCTCGAGCGGATACCACGGCACTAAGCGTCTATGTTGTTATAGATATTGTGGGACACAGGGGTCCCAAAACACGCAAATTACCCATTTCCCACGTGGGAGATCTGCAAATTAAAAAGTGCTGGCCAATACAAAAGGCTTGTTTTTGTCGTTATCTGTATTGAAACCGTGTCTAGGTGACCATTGCTGACGGGGTATTGAGTAGTGCGTAGCATGGGAATCGTAAATCTGCTCAAATCTGCTCAAAACCTCGTTACAGGTAAAATGACAGTGCACTTTTGGTCGGCTGCCAGTGGGTTAAACCCAGTTAGGTAGGCACTGCCACCACCGCCACCGCCGCACTTTGCTCGTAATTAGTGCTACTGCTGCTACTACAGCAGCTATAGGTATTATAGTTACTACTATAGCAGTAGTAATATAGGTAATATAGGCAGTATAGATAGGTGTTAGTATTATAGAGAAGTTAGGTAAATAGCGTATACGTGCATTACTATTTAATATAATAGGTTTGGTTAATAACTAATAATATAAAAAGAAGGAAAGTAGCTACTACTGTAGATATTTATAGTAGTATAAGTAAAGGTTAGTTATATAACCTTAGATTAGCTTTACCCTCCACTAGTGATAAGTATCTAACATGTGAAATAACGACGTTTTAGGAGATTGAGTAAGTCGGCAAATAATTTCTGTGTCGATAATTACTAGCATGCTGGGGAGCGGCAGCGCGTTTCCGAGCTGAAAAACCACAAAGCTGCGAATGGCATTGGGCCGAATGCCGGCAGTTTCGCTTTTGCTATAATGTGTATGGCAGGGAAAATGCTTTCGAGGGTTCATGACTCCTAACATTTCCCGTATCCGAGATTGCTTTGCTATTTCGTTCCTCCAATGCCCCCTTCATTAATATCCAAACAGCAGCTCCACCGCCAACGAGTCATTGTCCATGGAACCTGGAACGCTGGTAAAAAGAAGCGTCAACGGGGCCGCGAAAGAGCCCAATGTAGATAGTACGAGTGACAGGTCAGCGATCTCGGGGTCAGTCAGTTTCCAAAAGTTGTCGGACGGCCTAGTATTCTTTCGGTTGCTGGGCACATCATGGAGAACGAAGGATCTGTATCGGATATTGGCTTCCGGGCCAGATCTGTGGTTTGTGGAGCGAGTCATGTTGCCGCGGAGGCATAGAAACATGTACTGGGGGCCGGCAGCAGCTCAAAGGTTCAGCTGCATAGGGAACGCTTCTCGCGAGTACTTGTGTTGCACAATAGGGTCCATATCAGTACCCATCATGTCTCACGGGCTGGGTGGGACTGTAGCTCTCAAAGGCACCTTATATACCCTATTCGCCCCATACCCCCTTTTTCGACGATATGGACCGTTCCGACTACTTATTCCTGGCCCCTATGGTGAGAAATTGAGAGTTGCGTTATGAAGACTGACCCGTAATCAACTGACCAATAACCTCCCCGTCCCGTCACCAACCGCCTTGACTCTCGAACCAATTTCAAGCGGGTTTCCTTCGTAGAGCACGAAATGGTACTCCCCGGAACCCTCTTTCAAACCTAGCATCTTGTGTATGTTGCTGCCGGCGAGGTCTAATGCGTCCCGCTCGGTGAGGCGCCCTTCGCTATTCCTGTATGCAACGCCCGCCAGTAACGATAGATCCCGGACAATCCAATCTTCTTCCAGACCGATGGCAGTGACAACTCCCGCCCGAGTGAGCACGTCAATCGCCGTGCCATTGGTCAAAGGCGGGCCTGTAAGAGCCCTTCGCTGGTCCCACGACATCGCAAACGATTGCATCGGCGCCAGCACGACACCCACCCCAGCAGCCGCCAGTGCATCCGCCACCAAGTGGGCCTCGGCGCCTCCGTTAATTACGAACCGAAGCTTGACACCGACGTTGGCGACCTGCGAGATTGCCTCTTCAACATCCGTTTTGATATTCAGCAAGGCCGCAATTGTGTCCGCACTATGTACGGTCACGGCGAGTGCCGTCTCACCCTTTACGACCCTTTGAAGAAACGCAGCCTCGGAATGACTGTCCTCCACAGCCAGCTTCTCGTCGGCAGCCGAGGATGTAACCGCTTTGAGGAGTTTGTAACGCAGCTCTCCGACGGCAGCAGACATTGACGAGAGTCCGTCGATGCCACGTTTGGCAGAGGAGTCAAGCGTATAGTGCAGGGCGGCGTCGCGGGCAAGCACGGAGCCAGGGTCAAGAACGGATTGTGCACCAGTCAGGAATGCCGCGCTCGTGCCGTGATGCGTTCCGAGGGCGGAGAATTTGGGGGCCGATATGGCACGAGTGACTCCGTAGCGCCGAGCAACTCGAAGCTTCTCGGTGTCGAGTGCGAGACCGTCAACGCCACGGCTAAACCTGCCTCCGTCCGCGCCATTGTCCGTGTCCCGTTCGGTATCAATGGCGTTGAGCCCGATTGTCGAGCCAAAGGCAGTGAGTGGTGGCGCAAGATACCCGTTCTTGATGGGAATCACTGCGCCATCAGTAGTCGATGCTTTTTCCAGCTGAGCAAAGCAGCTTCCAGCACAAACGATCTTGCCGCTGGATACGGCTATGTTGTATGTCCTACCGTCGCTTGCGAATCCATCTGGCTCGACTTCGTGGAGAATTCTAGAGATACCCGTGAAAACAACGTCGTCTCTCGAGATGACTGTTTCCGCGACGATGCTACCAAGACTTTCATCCGGCACAATGGCGCCTTGAAACGTCTTGTTGAGCTCAACAGGTTTCTCATATTGGGCAGTTCCGTCGATCCATACCTGGACTGGTGTGGCCCCAACGCTCAGTGGATCACTGTCCCAGACGACGATATCGGCATCGAAACCTGTCTTTACCTTACCCAGGCGTTGGCCAAGCCCCAATCTCTCAGCTGGCGCCGTTGTTACTGATGCAAGTGCCGCGTGGTATGGCAAGCCATACTTGTAGGCCTTTGCAGCTTCGAACACTACATGTTGCGCGTTGAGAACCGGGTTGTCACTGACGTAGATCGGGGTGAGGCCTGCATCATAGAGATGCTTGCCCGCATACTCTGAGCCGAGTGCGGCTTCGGCCTTGTACCACATGTTGTCGGCGAAGAGAGCCGATGCAGGCGGGCTATTGCCCCAAGCCCGTTTTAGAATCTGGATGTAACCTGTCAGCGGAATGGACTCGATTCTCACGGTCTTTGAGTCCGTATCAATCTGGCTTAATCTGGTTGAGTTACCTCCGGGACCAAGTGCGTCTGATGAGCATGATGAAAGGCACGAATGGGAAATCTGAACTCGTTGGTATGGTCGACGAACGCCTCAAGGTCGGTAATGGTGTAGCAATGAGCATGAACATGGACCTGGCCCCTGAGCACAGCGACCAACGCCTCCCACTTGAGCTCATTAGGCAGATATTCTTGAACGTTTTCCAGGCTCATGGCTGCCGTACTGCACCAGTCGTCTTGCTTACGCACGATGTTGGAGGCATGCTCAAGGGCCTGACGGAATTCCCAGCTTTCTCCAAGGCGGCTGTAAGGACCACGCTCGCCGGCTTTGCCATGGATCTGCTTGGAGTTCTCACCACAAGCCATCTTCATGTGACGCCAGGAACGGTCCGGATCGGCCAGCATGTCGATGACGCTCGTCTCGTTTCGCCCATCAGCGGTACCAGTCGCGTGTTTGATAACGTAGGCTTCGCCCCCGATGTTGTTGCTCGACCCCGGCAGTATCAACGATGTAGTCACGCCTCCGGATTTGATCACTTGAAGCTGATAATCTGTGGGCTGGATACCGTCAATTGACCGAACATAAGGCGTGATATCTGTGGACAGCTCGCTGACGTCCTCGTTTCCGTGCAGTGTCGGTAGTGAGTGCACCGCGGCATGGCTATGCATGTCGATGATGCCACTGGTGAGCGGCCGTCCGGCGGCGTTGTAGACCAAGACATCGCTCGGAAGGGTTGACATCGGGATGTCTTTGATGACGCGCCTGATGAGGCCATGCTCAATGAACACATCGGCCTGGACCCAGGTATAGCTTGCAGCGCCGTCGACTGGCTCCCCAACCCAGACGCTCGCGTTTCTGATGATGGTAGATCGGTGGCCATCCACATACCGAGAACTTCGTGCCCTGCCATAACCGGGCGGATCAACAGGCTTTCCATGCAGCTTCCTGCATGTTGCAAGATCCTCCTCCAACTTTCCAATCGAGAGTCCGTGGGTTGTGAAGCCTGTCCCGGACGTCGCGGCCGTAGGGGTAATCTGCCTCCACTGCGCGTAGACGATAAACGCGAGGCATACTAGCCCCAGAGCGCGCAATGTTCGCGATCTGCGGGGTAATGATTGGAAAGCTGGTATCCGCGCAGGGGGCAGGGCTTCTTCAGATGGCGTAGAGGTGTACGGGGGAAGGTCATCCTTCTTCACACGCGTAAGTTGGCCCATGACTCTGCTATCGGGCTCGACAGTCGAGAGTAAGGTTGAATCCGGGTCGTCTGGTTCAAGGCCGATGAGAAAAGACCGCAAAGAACCGAGTCTTCCACCAGCATCTTCCGGACGATGGCTGCCCCCTTGTCTGCATGACCACTCCCTGTCTAAGAGCACTGAGGGGTTGCTGCTGATCAGCACAGGGGGTCCGAACAGGGCCGAGATCGCCTAAAATGGTCACGAAAAGCTACATTTGAACCTCAGCAACCTCCCAGGGCTTATGCTGATGCTTGAGTCCATCAAGGTCCCTGTCATGTTTCTCTTTTTACAGCACGATGCTACAGACAACGCAAACATGGGAGAAGCGTATGAAGAAACGCTTTTGTCCCCATCTTGCGTCTAAAATCAAACGTTGGCCGGAGTTGTATACGGTTCGCCGCATTCTTCATCAAGGAGGAACAGAGGAGCCCTGGCTTCAGGTTTTTGATCACAACGGTCTCGAATTTCAACCTGGTTCCAACCCGAGTGAATACTCTTCGAATGAATAGCAAGCATTCATATCGACAGAAATTACGCATTGCTGCTCATTTACACTTGGCACAAATATTTCTCAATTTATAGACTATGCTTTACATCGATGTAAGAGCACACAATCAGGTCTCAGAGTAAACCGTCAGATACAAGAATAACAAACTGTGTTCTCCCTTCCATTCGAGGTTTGCCGCTTAGTGAGCTTCAATCAAAGTCTCCTTCGCAACAGGCGCTTGCTTCGGCCCATCGACTGGTACTTCAGATGCGTGAGCCTTGGCAACGGGCTGAGCGTAGGGAGTCCACTCCTCGTCGGCATTCATACCGCCATACAGCATGGAAGGGGGTGCCAAAGCCTGGATGTCGGGAGCGGCCCTGAACAGGAAAAACTTCTCGTCGTGCCACTGGCCGGCGGTGACGTATCTCCCCTCGCTGTCGGTAAACATGGTCTCGTCCTCCGCGCGGAGGAAGTAGGCGATGGAGTAGCGGTGCTCCTCGGGGTTGAACGGGACGACGCGGTGGATGCACGACATCATGGTGTGCCCGCTGGCGAAACGCAGCGAGTCGCCGACGTTGATGATGGCGCAGCCCTTCTTGGGCGCGACGAAGCCGAACTCCTTGGTGCCGGGGGGGCGGATCTGGAGACCCCACTCCTCGGCAAAGAGGAGGGTGAGGGAGCTGATGTCGGTGTGCTTCTGGTGGCCGATCTCTTTGTCCTTGACGGGGTCCGCGGGCACGTAGTGCATCATGGCCAGTGTGGAGGTCGAGGGACGGTCGTTGCGGTGGGCGTTCTCGTAGCGAGCGGCGCCGACAAGGCCCATGGCAGTGGAGAGACCGGACAGGACGGCCTTGGTGACGATGTTGGAGCCGGAGATGGCGTTCTTCAGGATGCCCTTGTCGGTGTCGTTCTGGAGAATCTGGGGGAACTTGGGGTCCTTTCTCTGGATCTCGTCACGAGAGACCTGTTGCGGAGAGGAATCAGTCTTGGCTCTCGCAAATACTACGAGCCTTCCTAAAGCATCTCACCTTGAACATCTCATAGCCGTCCCTGGTATTGGGAAGGCCGCCTGTGCGTGAGCCTACGGGCTCGTACCTGAGAGACATTGTCAGTGATACATAGACATTGAGCCGGCGGTAGTTCGTCGACTTACCCGAGATGTGCGGTGATGAGACCAAACTCGTTCTTGGCCTCCATTGGGGACTCAAAGTAGCGGTGCATGAGCTCGAGCGTCTTCTGTTGATCATCCAAGAACCTGCTGCCGTCAAGGCCGTTCAGGTCCAGGTAGAAGAAGCCTTGCTCCTGGCAGCAGCGAAGCATGATCTCCAGCTCGGCCGGCTCCTGGGACAGGACTCGTCCGAAGTCAACAGTCTCCATGGGGTAGATGGGGACCCTCTTCCCCGCCCACTCGACAGTCTGTGGGACTTCGGTGGAGACGCCCATTGTACGTGTTGTGTAAGGGGGTTTGTGTACTTGAGACAATAATGCTGAGGATCAAAAGATCAATAGAGCACAAGTGATGGCCCTGTTTCGAATTGGGTTCAAATTGGGTTTGAACAGTTCCTCTTCCTCCCTTCCTTTCCCTGTATCATCATCGAGCAGTTGAACCCTCCTATTTATACATGTGAGAGCTGCTCATAGCTGCACCAACAACATTGCCCCTCACTGCCAGAAGCGGCGTCAATCCATCTGCCCGCACTCCGGGTCCTTATCCTCCTTCCATATTCTTGTTACTGACACTGTCCCGTTGAGCGAGGCGCAAGGTTTCATGCGAGTATGCGGGGTCTCGGACCAATCGGCAGACACAGTCGTTCATATCACATGCATACTACACCAAAGCAAAGAGACTACTAATTGTTGTTTCGCTGGAAGCTCAATGCTATTTCCATATCAAAAGTGGATATATGCCTTGGCTTGCTTGGTTCCCGTTCGCGACGGGCAGCTGTCTCCCTTGTCCTGAACCACTCAATCGGACACGGTCCGGCTCATGTAGAGCGCCGTGTTGCAACATTTCTTGGCCATCTTATCACTTCCGGGAGGAGGAACTGCGGCATCCGACCGAAACGGGACTCCCACTCTCTTAGCTCAGCCAGCAACGTACGTGGGAACTGATTGTTGGCCTGGCCAACATCGACGCCCCGCACTCGGTGAACTTGGGGTGTGTCGGGAAAGGACGCATGGCTGACGATCGAATCGCATCTCCTCGGGTTTTTACCCGACTATCAAGATCGCCGAGCCCGGCACATACACCTCATAGACCGGTTACTACCTATTCGTCGTCTGATTTCGGACCTAAGGGAATGTACTCTGCTCTACGTTGAAGGTATAGACGCAGTCGACCTTGAATTTTCTGTCCATGATTCATCATGGACAGCAGAACATGCGCCTAGTCGCATCGGGTTTGCTTCTCGGGTATCACGATACCCTTATCTTCCTGGTCGCCACTGAAGACCTGGGAATCCTTAGACAAAAGCTCCGCTCGGGAGCAGCGGCCGAGATACCCGTAGTAAGATCTGGTACAATCTGGACAATGGCCACCCGCATAGCCATGCGGGGTAGACCTGTTGCGCACAAACAAGCCGGATATCTTGATCCTGAGTTGTTAATGATAGGAGCAAAGCAACACCCCACGTCGATGAGCGAACATGGATATCCATGCATGATCTAAACACTGGCATCGTCGCTTGGACTGACAATCAGGTTGGCACGGATGTGTGACTAACCTAGCTGCGCCAATATCAACTTCGGACCTTTCGTCCAGAGTCACATTAGACGTGATGGGGCTTACCTCCCGTATTATGCAGTGCGATTGGTCAACAGGCTCCGTGCCTACTTTTCATGTCTATTGTTCTTGGTCATTACTTTTAGTCATGAGGTACAAATCAAGCTCGGTCTTCTTGTTAAGTATCATGATATTTGCATAATCGTTGAGTTCATTGCAGATCAGATAGTGGAAGTGCCTGGTTTGTCTCACTCTTCACATTTTGGAGCCAATGAACGACTGGATCAAACGATCATCTAAGCATCTAGGTTAAATCTCATTGACCAAAGAACCAGAATTCCATACTACTTGAATGTTGTAAATGAACTCGTTTTATACGTTCTTTGCTCACTATACGACACCACCCAAAACAGTAGATTACTCACTCTGAGGTTCGGGACATGGAAAGCCACACTGCCCATGTATGTGTCTTTAATGGAGAAGTGCGTCGCGTCAAGGCATATTGGATGTACGATATGCTGACGATCAGTCTCAGTGGCTCCCTCAGCTTTACAACCTAACCGCTTTCTGCTTTTTACAAGAAAGACTGGCATCTACAGTGCCATGTGTACTTCTGTATCAATTATGATAATACTGGGACAAGGACCTGAAAGTTAGTACGCGACAGGATGATAGTAGGTAGCATACTGCGCTCTGCAATGTGCCGAGCAGACCCCACTTGTTGCAACAAGGTCAAGGTCAATGATAAGTTGGTCAAAATATAGTCATTAAGCCAAAAAGGGCTAGTGAAGGTCTACAGACAAACTCTGGCTTCTTCCGTACGAGTTTGAGTCCAAATGCAAGGGAACAATCCAGGTCCTTCTTGGGATGCCTGAAGCCTCCTGCGCATTAGGCATCTTTTGCAGTTCATATCGATATTCATTACAGTCTTCTTCTTGCTGAATAGATTTATACGCTTTGCTTATATCACGCACACAGATCCGGGAAAATACACATGCTGGTGCTGAGGCAACTGGTCTTCGGGGATCAATAATCCAACCTTCGTTCTGGTTTTGAGCCCTGTCTTCTACATCTTCGGGACATCTTTTCTAATAAGGGGGATTCCCTCCCAGGTGTCTTGCAAGGTGAGGTATAACTATACGTCTACGCAAAGGGCCAGTAAGCCAGCTCGTAGACGTATCCCGTCGTCATCTTGGCGTGCTGCAGGGCATGATCAAACGAGACATGCTCCATGGTGTCGTTGGGCGTGTGAATGTGCGGGTTGTGATTCCCAAACGGCGTCTCGAAGATGAAGGTCGAGGGGAAGCCGTTGCGTTTCGCCGAGGCGTGGTCGGAGCAGGCGTACCCGCAGACAGTCTCCTCGTAGGGAATGTCGGTATACTGTAATTGCCCCCGGCGCGGCCCGTCAAGTCAGTCCCACCAAGAACTCATTTACGGGGCGCGGGGGGTTCTTCCACTTACGGCATCGATGATGCGCTTCATGTAGGCGACCTGGTCGGGGTCGGTCCAGTCGGTGACGACGCCGAAGCGCTCGACAGCGTCGCGGCCGACGTAGCCGACCATGTCCTGGTTCAGCATGGAGACGACCTGGCGGTTGAGCGCGCGGTACTGCGTGAAGATGTCCTGGCTGCCGAGCAGGCCGGCCTCCTCGGCGCCGTACCAGTGGAACTCGACGGTGTTGAGGAGGTCGCCCGAGGCGATGCGCTTGTCGGAGAGGAGGACGCGGAGGACCTCGAGAATCATGACGGAACCGGAGCCATTGTCATCTATTATTATTATTTTCAGTATTTTCAAGCTCATGAGACCCAAACTCAAGACCGAGAAAAGAATATGAAAGGGGGAGAAAAAAAAAAAAAAGCAGGGACGACGACTCACCAGCACCAGGTGCACGGCCAGCGCCGCGGTCTCCGGAGATCACGGAGTCGAGGTGGGCGCCGACAACGACGGTCCGCTGGTTCTGGCCGGGGATCGTCACGATGATGCTGGGCTGCGACCAGGCGACGTGGCGGACGTAGCGGACGTTGGCCGTCGGGTGGCCCGCGGCGTCGAGAACGGCGCTGACCTGGCCGTGCAGCCACTCGGCGGACTCGACGCCCGTCCGGGAGAGGTAGTACCGGTTGTGAAAGGACGAGAAGCGCTCGAGGTGGGTGCGCATGTTGTCCTTGCTAAGCTTGGGTATCAGGGCGTTGACGTGGCACGTCTGGTTCATGACCGTCGGGAAGGGCAGCGCCGCGAGGAGCTTGAAGTCCGGGGAGGGTGTGACGGCGGAGACGTCGGACCACTCCGTGATGTCAAAGAAGTGGACGCGATTCTAGGGGCATGTATGTCAGTTGCCCGCCGTTCGTAAAGGGAAAGGCTTCAAAGGGATGACGGGGAGGTTGGAGCCTACGTCCATCATCTTCCACTTTTCCTCTTCAGTGACGGTGACGGTCTGTCCGGGCGCGATCTCGAGGGTGAAGAGCTTTTTCGGGTCGCGGGGCCCGACGGAAGAGCCGGCGGCTGAGGAAACGGCGAGAGCGGCGAGGAGACGGGTGAAGCGCATGATGGGCCACGTTTTACGGGGGAACTGGAGCGACTATGAGGCGACAGTGGCTTGCGGCTACGGTTCTCATGGCACACAACGCGCCGTTCTCAAAGGAGGCCGGCTTGTTATATGCTGGCAGAATCACCCACGGTACCGGACACCTGCATGACTTGCATCACCACACGTTCCAACCAGCGACGTATCACGGGGGGGGGGACGTGGTACCTGGTGAACATTCAAAGATCTTCCGGCCCCTGTTTTAATCCAAGTCTGGCGTCTAGGTGAGGGGGGCTGGATGACGCCGCGCCGGCGCCGGGGAGATGGTTATGTACGCCGAGAGCTGTATCGGGAAGCTGGCCACGACGTGAGAACTTTTGGGCTCTCGAAACACAAGCGGTGAATCTCAGATACGATGATAGTAGTTCAGGCTCTATGTCGGCGAGGGATAGGCTAGCAAGAAGAGTTGCCGGGCACGACCGGTGGAACGGCATGCAAGGCACAGGGCGGGTTGGCCGATTGTTTCCGGGTCCCAGACGGTGATGTATAGCCAAGAGGTATTGATCTTGGCTCCACGGCGAAGAATCAAAAAAAAAAAAAAAAAATGACATGATGGAGTTGGGGTTGGACATTTCCCACCTTTACCGAATAGGTATTTCGTATTTCCCTCGGCTTATAACCCGTCATTCAGACATCCTCGTTATTCGATCTGGGATATTCCATTGACCGGCCTCGGTATCAGTATAAGGCTTCACTTGCAGATGAGAACGGACGTGCGGCCTCAGTCACATATCCAGGCCAGAGCCGAAGCTTTCCGAGAGAAGAAGTAACCTCGCGGGGCATAGAATAACATCGAATGATGACTTCTCGTCGGCTCGCTGCCAATTGCCAAGAGCGACTATATCCGGAAGGTGACTTTAAGCCAAGACGATTGCGCGGGGGAATGTGGCTTGGGCCCAGTCGCCAAGCTCATTTACCATGATTTTTCTCTTTTCTTCTTCTTCTTCTTCCTCTCTCCATGAAGAAGACCTCTGCGAGCCAACACATTGGCAGAACGGACGAAAGTTCCGTACGTAATCAGCGGGGGAAAGGGGCCATGCGTGAAAGCCGGCCCGGTTCCGGGGGGGAACTCAAATCCAAGATGGGTGCCCTGCAACTCTCACGGACGAGGGATCCTCGGGGGGCGAACCGTTTGTGTCGCGAATCCGTATAAGACTCATTTTGCATCCCACAGTCTGTTACCATCGCAATATCGTCCGTTTGCTCTCTCGGACGTACTGGCAGACTACGCGCCGCCACTCGGCCCGTCGAGGAGAGGCCCGCCTCTCCGGCACCTCGCAGCCTTCGTCTGCCGCGCCGTCGCGCAGCGCGAACAGCGGCAACGACCCCTGCACCAACGCGAAGAGCCCGTTGTTCGCCATCAGCCAGCCGATCAGCCGGTATCATTCCACCCATGAGAGCAGGTAGGGAGGGGGGTTGGTTGGCGCGCGCGATCCACGAGATCACCATGAGGGGCGAAGACGGCCGTCCGTGCGGCGAGCCCCGGGAGGGACAGGGCACCGCCGCTGCCACCTGTGCCGGGTCGAGACCGCGTCATCTCGCGGGCTTGCGGGACGACTGCGGCGGCCGTGGCGATCGTGGAGGCGGAGAGGACGAGGAGGAGGTGGGGCAGGATCAAGATCTCCCTCGGTAGGAAAACAACTTTCTGTTTGTAGAAACTCACCGGAGCAGGGAAAAGAACCAGACAGCCGCGATCTGGCAGAAGTTGAGCCAGTCGCCCACCATGGCCGCCGGGTTGTCGACAAAGACTCCCATACCTGGTGGTACTGCGGTAGATAGGAGGCGATGGCCAGGATGCTCAGCGCCCTGCCAATGGGTCAGTGTCCTATAGAATGGTCTAGATACCGGATGCTACGAGGTTCGACTCACAGCCTGGCTCAGTTAGGTAGAATGTCAGAGGACCTTTTATGTGAGATGAGACGTCTCTCTTTCTCTAGTTGGGTGGCCTAATTAAGATTGAGGCGTGAGGAAACCTGTCGAAGAGTCGTCTTTACAAGTTGGAGAGGTCAGTTACTGGGATTGCACTCATCTGCGCAGCTTCTGTGCCCATAGTTCCACCCGAAAGATGGAGGTGTAGTCTGGCTTACTGGGTTACGGTAGCAGTCAATGTTTACACGGCGCGGTCGCGGTGGGCTTCGATCATCCCGTAGGATTCGATTGTTGCACCACGTGGGCAAAAACCACGAGTCAATGGTACGTGGTTGAACCACGTCAAACACAAAGAGGCGACACACGCGTGAATGACTTGCGATAAGAGCGTTCGTTCAGTGCATTATTCTACTGCCTCATTTATAGGCCTTCCATGTGAACACATGACCATAGAGCCCCCAAAGTTCAAGCCTCCAGTCACTCCCTGGCACATATCTGAGGGTGCTCAAGCTAATCAACAGAGATTCCGAGCTCTTCTCCTTGCATCAATCCCGCAATCAGCCATCGTTATTACGTTCAAGGGAAGATGAGCCACTTTGTATAGGTTTTGACGCCGTACTGGTCAGCGAAGTCGCACCATTCCCAGCCCCAGCCACGCATGCGGCCCTTGGTATTGTCGAGCTTTTCGATGGCATTCGTCAAGACGATCTCAATGTCCATATTGCCGACGACGGCGTCCTCGCCGACGGACCACGCAATGTGACAGGTGTCGACCTTGGCGAGCGGCTGGCCGGGCCCGCGCTCGTTCTCGTCGCTCCATCGAAAATAGAAGCGATGGACAGACATGAAGTTGCGGAGCTTCTTGCAGTCTTCGACGAGGGCAGAGTCGGGGCCGGCGCCGCCCATGTAGGTGGTTTTGCCGGTGCATCGTTTCGAGGGGCCGAGCGGGGTTTCGTATCTCTCCAGCCTGCCGGCGACCTTTTTTCCGTCGTTGAACGGTGTGTACAAGGCGTTTGGGTTGACCTGAGCAGTGAAGTTGCTGCCATCGTCGTCGGTAAACTCAAAGTCGAGCCAGTCCACGGCAGAGTCGACCTGGGACAGTGCTTCATAGTCTGGCTCCTCAGAAGCGACGTCACGTTGTTCGGTCGCATCGATAACGGGAGCGTCAAGACTGGTGTCGCGCTGCTCGATCTGCCCCTGAGGGAGACTGGGGTCGCGATAGAAGAGTCTGAACTCGCCATCGTATTGGTTGTTCTTCTCGAAGCCGCAGCGAACGCCCATCTTGGCACGAACGCCGATGCCTTGGTAAGTGGAGGGCTCGTAGTTGATGGCTCTCTCGAGAAAGCCGGCCATGTCACGGTTGGTGAGGGCAATTTTGTCCTTAGTCGTCTTGAAGCTGAGGCCGCAGGACTCGTGCGCAGCAAATTTAGCCCAGAAGTTCAGATCGCGTTCCTTAAAGACGACCTTTGCGGTGTTGTGTTGGCAGAACCTCAAGAGCTGCTCGCAGTCGGACTTGAGCGGTGTATGTGGCTGGTCCCAGTCGGACGAGAGCCATATGGGAGTGCAGAAGGGGCCCTCGGGATTGCCGCCGGTGTACATCTCGTATCGTTTGGCGATGGTGAGGTTGACGGATTCGACACTGTGGGGAACCTGTCGAACTGTGCCGTTGAAGACGTAGGCGGAAGTGTTCTTGGGGATTTGAGAAAGAGACTTGACGATAAGGGGTCCCTGGTGTTCGACCTCGCGCACCTCGACAGCTCGGGCAGTGTCTTTTCCAGAAGGGAAGGCTTTGGAGAGACTGGCATCCTTGGCGTCGGCGAGGCCCAGAGGTTCGCGCTGTTGCAGTCTCCAGGAGACTGGGGCGTGGCCTGATGGGCTGTTACGAACAGCGCAGTCTGCCTCTTCGGTGGCTGAGACAGATCCATCGATGATCCACCCAGGACGACTCAGAGACCTGCCGAGGAAGTTGGCGATGTCTCCAGTAGAGAGAACAGCGTCGGGGGTGTGGGCGAGGATCTGGAAGCTACAGCTACCGACCCAGGCCGTTTCGACCCAGGTATTGGTATCGGAGCCAAGTTGATCGGGGTTGATCAAAGCCGGGTGACCCTTGAGGAAGTCGAACAGGGCTTGACAGTCGTCGCGACGGGGGCTTTCGACGCTAACATCTTGCTTGCTGACGCGGACAGTGCAGAGCTCGACATCGTCGTCGGCTGTGACGGTCTTGATGTGCTCGCTGACGGGCCAGGGAAGCTTGTGGATATCGCCGATGATGTTCACGCGGGCGGCAACGGCGAAGACGACGTCAGAGCCATTGGAGGCCTTGAAGGTGATATCCCCTTGGGGCAAGGCAAAAGCATCGAGGACGCCAGGGTCGGGAACAGCGCGTCCAAAGGCGAAGGCCGCAAGGGCAATGGTGGGCGCGATGAATCTGCGCATTTCGTAATCTGTGACGTGTTTTCGGGACAGTTGATATATGCTGTTTGTGTTGTTTTTGTTGTTTTTGCTGAGAGAGTAGGTGGTAGTGAAGCAGTGAAGCTGTTCAGGCAATTAGGAGGAACAAGAAAGGCGTCTCTAGTGACGAGAAAATATGAGACGAGACGAGAGAGATGTGAGGTCTCGCGTATGAGGAATGGAAGAGAAAAAGAAAATCAACCCAACCAGTTTTCTTCGCGATCTGGCGGCCTCGAGTGATCAAGTCACGGGATCTACTTGCCTGTGTTTCCCTTTTGGGCAAGAAGATCAAGGTGAAGTTGGTTTGCTTATATAATCCCGTGACTATACAGAAGAAAAGGAAGGAGCTGCTTGGTGGGAAGCGCCTTCCTCGTGTGGTTGTGGCGGTGTGCTGTGTACCGAAAGCCAAGCAAGATTGAGGAATCGAGACGATATTGACTGCTCCCAATGTGGTCACACAAGCTGCTTTTAGGTTGGCTGCTACTCGGTCTTCGAAGATAGATGTGGTGAGTTATTATAGCGAAGGATTACACCCAGAAAACAGAGCAAGCGAGCTCTGGATCACTTGGACCAGGTGCAGCACATCATTGAAATTCTTGATGACTTATACGGCCATATATGGCGGTTGCCATGCTTCTCTTCTGTCTCTTTAACGTGGCGGTTGCGTCTATACGTGTGTACTGTGCCTTCAATGGCGATGGAGTTCAATACGAAACCCAAGATGACATCACTGGTTGATGTTTGCTACGGGCCCAACTACTTGTTGCTGCCGCTCGTCTCCAAGGCATGACCCCTCAACTTGTGCCAGAGATTTATGTCTAGCTGATTTACAGTCATTGTCCAAAAGGAATATGGTGATGATGCACCAGGGGTCTAGCAGCATGCAAGGGATAATATACATCAACAATGGAACTCCGTGACCAGAGCTGTCCATGCACACGGCTTGTTCGTATTGCCTAGACAGCAGTGGCGTGTCATGCATATAATTATGCTCATATTGTCAAAAAAGCTCTCAATGAAAACATCAATCATTACTTGGTGAGTTTACATTGGCAGGGTGTTTCTCTGCGCAGTTGTTGTGGGCATTCAAATGAATTTAGGCCACAACTACTAACTCATAACGAATCATGGCTAGAATATAGTAAGCAATATGCTTCTCTCTCATTATCCCTTTTTGCCATCCATTCGATCCTACATGAGAGTTCTGTCAATTGTTGATATGCCATACTGTAGCACGGCTGTAATCGTCTGCCTACCTAATGATTTTGTTTGCCTCGGCCTTGGGGACTGCACCAAACTCAGCCCGGCATCAAGCAGCGAGTCATTGAGAAATGCATGCAACACAAACCAAGCAACGTTGCATACAAGTTTGTCCAACAGCACACAAAGAAAGACCAGCTCAATCCATTAGGTGCCGTGTGTCCGCGAGAGCACACAACATAATCCTATTGCTAGAGAGTTGTAATCGGTTCCATTTTGCTTGCAGATCACTATTATAAGCTCGGCACGCTGTAAAATACAACCACCGGGATGCTGGATCGAGTCAATGCGATATTGTTCCGTAGGCAACGGAACAACGTTCACCCCCGACATTCCCATCTTGTTTTCTCCTTCAACCTGGGCAACGGGGCTAGATACGGCACACAAAGTTGCCTTCGACGAAGGAAGCCTGTCAACACACTCCAATGAGAGTCCCCTAACAAAAGTAAATAGCCCTGCACGGGCAGAGTGTTAGAAAACGGCCCTTCCCTATGTCTATTTGTGCTTGAAATAATTGATGAGTCAGTTACATTGACAATCTTCAGCCGGAGAAAGTGTACCAATAACTGTGACAAACTTCTTGCAGCCTTGCTATCGATCAAGAGACCTCGTCGGGTGCCCAGTCGTCGTTATCCGTATTACAGGATTCGCCAATTGCCGCCGCAGCTTCTTGGACCTTGCTCTAGTCAAAAAGTACCGCTTAGATGGGCCAGATCCAATATTTACCATGCATGTCAATCTTTTTACCTAAACCTGGCCCCTCCTCCCAACTCCGTATCAACTGGGAGATCGCCGGGGACCGGAACTTGCTGCTCTGGGGACGTGTTTCCCGTTCGTTATCAACTGGCTCCGATTACCGCCGAGTCGATCCCACGTCCTTGGGCCCATCTGCCCCACAGAAACATGTCGCCCCCGGTGGGTTTATACATACTAGCCGGGGGGTTACCTTGCAATCAATCGAATTCTTCAATAAACCGCATAGGTACTTGGCAGACAAGCCTACTCCCCAGGCCGGGGGGGGCGTTGCAATGTCGTCCGTATACTTGGTAAGCTTATCCGGCTTGCATAGCATACATAGCCTGGATATCAGAGATAGGTAAGCGCAGATAAGACTATCCCAACGCCAAACGACACCGCACCCGGCGACACTACCCCCCAACACGGAGCTGGGGCTGGGGGGGGCAGCGCTTCCCCACTGGTTCTCATTTCTTCTTTTCTCACCGAGTTGCTGATAAGAGAAAACTTGGGCGGGCCAAGGACCGGCGTCTGTTTGCCATTATTTGCCTTGGCTGCTGCGCTTCCGGGGGCCGACAACGTGTGATAGGACCGGCACCTGCGGGATGCGAGGGGGGCGATGATGTCGTTTCCCGTCCTGGGGGCTGGTAAACGGAAAGTGCGTTCCATGCTTTCCAGCATCAACCCGTCACGCCCTGTTGGATATTGAACACACTGGAGATCCAATGGCATTCTGGTCTTGTCGCAACGGCTCCAGCTTTCGGCCCTCTCTGTCCAGTCTGTGGAGACAATATGCCTCAAGCGCCCAGCAGTATATAGAGCATGGCCAGCATCCTGTCCTACGTCTCTTCGATGCACGAGCAAAATAATCCCACTGCCCTCTCCCTCCCCGTGTCACCACTTCTCTTTCAGGACCACCGTCGGTGTGACAGACAAGCCAAGATGCAGATGCGTAACGTCCTCCTCGCGGCCTCCCATCTGGCCCTCGGCCTCGCCGCCCCGGCCCCGCTCCCGGCCTACAACCTCCTCTCGACGCGGGAGACGCACTACAACGCCAGCCTGCCAAACGTCACCATCTTCGCCACCGGCGGCACCATCGCCGGCTCCGCCGCCTCCAACGCCCAGACGACGGGCTACCAGGCCGGCGCCCTCGGCGTCGACATCCTCATCGACGCCGTCCCCGAGCTCTGGAACGTATCCAACGTCCGCGGCGTCCAGGTCGCCAACGTCGGCTCGAGCGAGATCACCACCGAGATCCTCCTCAACCTCACCCGCCTCGTCCAGGAGGCCCTCGACGACCCCTACTGCCAGGGCGCCGTCGTCACCCACGGCACCGACTCCCTCGAGGAGAGCGCCTTCTTCCTCCAGCTCGCCGTCCGCAGCGACAAGCCCGTCGTCGTCGTCGGCGCCATGCGCCCCGCCACCGCCATCAGCGCCGACGGCCCCATCAACCTGCTCGAGGCCGTCACCCTCGCCGCCAGCCCCGAAGCCAGGGGTCGCGGCGCCATGGTCGTCCTCAACGACCGCATCGGCAGCGCCTTCTACGCCACCAAGACCCACTCCAACTCCCTCGACACCTTCAAGGCCGTCGAGCAGGGCTACCTCGGCTACTTCCTCGACATCAAGCCCTTCTTCTACTACCCCGCCGTCCTGCCCCTCGGCCAACACTACTTCAACGTCTCCGCCGCCACCGCGTTGCCCCGGGTCGACATCCTCTTCGGCCACCAGGACCTCAACCCGGCCCTCGCGACTGCCGCCGTCGAGGGTGGCGCAAAGGGCCTCGTGCTGGCCGGCATGGGCGCCGGCTCGTGGACTAACCCCGGCCACGACACTCTGAAGAAGCTCGCGCTGGAGAACAACACCCAGATCGTCCTCTCCAGCAGGACCATGGGCGGCTTCGTCGAGGCCAGCGGGATGCCAAACACCTACGGCGGCTGGACCCTGAACCCGGAGAAGGCCCGCATCATGCTGCAGCTCGGGCTGTACGCCGGGTACAACTCTACCCAGCTCGAGACGCTGTTTAAGTATGCGCCTTAGAGATAATGAATGAATGCCCCCTCTCCCCGAATCATGAGATTATGAATAAATAATACACCCTAATAGAAATATCATTCACTTTTTGCCATCCAAAAGTTATTACAGAGCCATCCAAGACCCATTCACGCTAACAGCTTGTGCTTTGACTACCCGCAACTCAAATCGTTCCAAGACAAATCTGGTTACGATGAGACCAAATGCAGAGGAAGGAAGCAGGCATCATTCACTTCAACCGACCCTCACATGTTGTTGAACAGTTGGCGAGTGCATGCCCGACGGCAGCGGGAGGGGAGAGTCCTTTTCTTCGACCAAAAAAAAAAAATCAAAAAAATTTCACGCGTTCTTCTTCGGGCGCGATCCCTTCTCCATCGCCGCGACCCTTTCGAAAGCCCGCTTCGTTTCCGCGCAGCTCTTGAGGATGAGGCAGAACGGGATGACGATCCAGAAGGCGTTGCAGAAGACGTAGTACCACCAGTAGTAAAAGTCCTCGGGCCGGCAGTAGATGACGCTGTAGACGAGCTCGTCGAAGGAGCACGTCGCGAAGTACAAGACGTCGCCGTAGAGCTGGCCGAGGCTGACGATGAGCTGCAGCGGGTGGCGGAGCGGGTGGCCGGCGACGATGCAGTAGGCGCAGGCGAAGGACAGCGGGCCCCAGCAGACGGCCGTGATGGTCTCCATGCAGACGACGAAGGAGTCCTGCGTCAGGTAGCGGGAGTCGGACAGCGAGTACTCCTTCCACAGCTGGCCGAAGATGTGGAGGCTGGTCGGCATGTCGGCCTGGTTGTACGAGAAGTAGCCTGGGTTCGTATCATCAGTCAGGGGTTGGCTCTCGGTACGATACGCTTCCCCTCCCTCATGCCGGAAAGACAACTCACCTTCGAAGAAGAAGTGGATGAAGGCACTCAGAGTGAACCACAAGGTCGTCGCCATCTCGCCACTGGGCAGGTCGGGTCGCGTCCTCTTGACGACGCGGTACGTCGACCCGAGAATGGCTGCGGCGCCAACCGCAAAGATGGCTCGCAGTTCATTTGCACTAAAGGTGTTGGCGACGTAGCCAGGGAGCATTGCACTCGCTGGGGAGTACGGGTGGACAGGGACGGAGGCGTTCATCATGACTTTGGCCGTCATTTCGAGGTCGTTTGGGTGCGATCCGTCAGGTATATGCTGGTCGTGTTTGACGGTGCTGGCAAGTATGGATGGCCAGCAAAGGTGCTCTCACGAGTGAGCTTTATAACATCTACTGCATGCAAACATGTCCCCCTTCCCCCATGTGTCCGCCCCGCTTTGGTGGGTACGGCAGGTTCAACATCCGCATCAGCCCATTCATGTATTGCTGGGGGGACATTTGCCAAGTCTGAAGCACCGCGGTCGTCTCATTGGCCACAGAGGTGACTTGGCTGACCTAACGAGATTGCGCCCTGCGTCGTATTCGGGTCCAAGGGAAGCACACAAACATATTGTCTGGTTGTATCTTTCGGGGCCTAAGAAAATGACCATCAGATTGATGCTCTACTGCCGGATCCCGAGTTGTCCGGTGACCGAGAGCTCGCCGGAAGATACGGCCCCGTAAACCCACATCATCACTCTTCACGTCCTCCGTTTCCGAACCTGATATATACACAACGTGATGGTAGATACCCTCTCTCTCCGTTATTGGACTTATGGTCTGCTCGTTCATTCGCTAGATTTAGCTCCGGCCGATCGCGTACGTCTTGTAACATCGTTGTTCCCAGAAGCCGTGCTCCGTCCGTATATTAGTTGAGTGGTCTGCTATATATATAGATGCTGGCCCCTGAAAATGCTGCAACAAAACTCCCACCCAAGCAACCAGTGCCTATCCGACGCGCTTCTAGGCCTCGCCCTTCTTGTTGTTCTTCTTGTCATTCTTCTTCCGGATATCGACCCAGCCCATACCCCACGCGAGCGCAAAGGTCACGCCGCCCAAGGCGACCAGGAGATAGAACACTTCGCCGATGCTCCTGGAGTACGCCATGAGAACTCCGGGGAGATCCGCCTGCGGCACGACCGTTCTGAACCCGGTTCCGCCGGCGGCCAGAATGGTCTTGGCGTCTACGGACGGGGCGTACCTTGCCAAGTTGGTGCCAAGCCCCTCGCTGAAGATGACCGAAGCCACTGTCAGGAAGATGGCGCCTCCAAAGGTTTGCAGGAATATGACGGTCGCCATGACCACGGGGAGACGGGACGGCGCAGAGTTTGCCTGGACGGCGATGATGTGCTGAGCGGGGAGCGAATGAGTCTATGCCGGCTTTTCAATGAACGGGGTTTGGGGAGCAGCTCACCATCTGCATGTTGGACCCGCGGCCCGCGCCTAGAAGGACCTGGTAGCCTATCCAGGCGGCCGAGCTCGTATGCGGGGTCCATGTCGAAATGAGCCCGTTTCCGATTGTCGCTACAACAGAGCCGAAGACTACCCAAGGGATGTAATACCCCAGTCTCCCGACTGTAAAAGGTTAGCAACCTTAACCAATGATCAACGCGAGCTTTGGAAACATGGAAGAAACCCCCCCCCCCCCATCTAAGGAGGGGAGGGGCATCGAGTTCAAACCTACCCAAGGCGCCAGAGACCACGGCAAAAATCAGCTGGCTCAGTATGGTCGGCAGAAAGTCCCTTCCACCCTGGAACGGCGTGGCCCCCTTGACACTCTGGAAGTACAGCGGCAGGTAATAGCTCGAGACCATGGTCACGCTGTAGCTCGCAGCCCCGGCGACGCAGCTGGTCCAAATGATTCTGTTCTTGAACAGGTCTAGGGGCATCATGGCTTCGTCGTCGCCCAGCCTGTGTTCCCAGTAGAAGAAGAGCACGGCCGTGACGCCCGCGCCGACGAACAAGCCGATGACGACCGGTGAGTCCCAGGCGTAGTCGTTGCCGCCGAACTGGAGAGCCAGCAGGAACATGACGGCCGCCGGGGCGAAGAGCACAAAGCCTGGGAGGTCGAGGTGGCCAGGTATTTGAAGAAGAGGGAGGGGGGTCGTGATCTTGGAGGGAATGTGGATGAGCAGCAGGAGGACTGCGACCACGCCGCCGATCGGAAGGTTGATGTAGAAGCCTGGGTTGGTGGTTTTTTTTTATTAGCATATCGCAAGGTTCACAGCAAGTCAAACGATCCAAATGAGGGACGGCCCGCCAAGCACTTACACCATCTCCAGTTTACGTATTGCGTGAAGGCCCCTCCGATGAGAGGCCCGACCACAAGCCCCATGTTCGAGAGCCCAATGACGATGCCGATGATTAGCGGCCTCTTCTGTAGCGGCACCGTCGTGCCTATGATCGTCAGAGCGCCGTTGAACAGGCCGGCCGTCCCCATGCCCGCAACGGCGCGCCCGACGATGAACATGTCAGAGGACGTCGCGACGCCGCAGATCAGCGAACCCAGCTCGAACAGGAAGAGAAAGGCCAGGAACGTCTGCTTGGAGCTGAGGTATGTGTATAGCTTCCCTGCAAAGGGCTGGAGGGCGGCGCTGTCGGCACAAGATGGTTAGCTCAACTGGCCTTCCTGATGCCCCCCTCTCTGATGGGGCTTCCCCCTGCCCCCAAAAGTCGTGGATAGGGGACACGTACCCGCACAAACTGTAGGCAGCGCCGTACCAGCCCACGTCGGACAGGGAGTTGAAGGCTGTTGTGATCTCGGGAACAGCCTGTGCCCATTGTCAGCCATGAGTAGCTCTTCACAGCCGTAGTGTAGAGGTGCGTCTTTACCGTTGTGATGATGGAACCGTCGAGGAGCATGAGAAACACCACGAGCGTCAAACCGGCGAGGACGAGGACTAGCTTGATGCCACTGATGTACTCCTCTTCTTCTGCATCCCCTTGCTCCGTAGCCAAGACGCTGGCGTCTCCGGTCGCCCCGTGGCTCCCGTCCTCCGCAGACTTGTCGGATGCTTCGTGGTCGGTGCCTATCGGGGACGACGGTGGCTTCTCGGAGACCCGGAGGTCGGCCACGGGTGCCATTGATGGTGGCGATTCCGGACCTTGGCTGGATGTCAACGTGCCGGGCAGGGGTGTCTCCTTGGAGCCACGCGAAGAGAACCTGGCCATGTTACACGGCTAGTGCTGCGTCTGATTGTAAAGGTGTATGTCGCCTCGAGACGGTTTCCGGATGAACTTTGACGGCTGGTCGTCTGAACAAGCATTTCAGTCCCGCGGACCATCGTAAATATAACAAACTCTATCATCTCAAACCCCGGTCCACGTCAATCCATCACCACAGTCCATCGGCTCAACCCCGTACAAACAGCTATCAGGCGACACCATCTATCCCCTTCGATAGGTATCCACATGACCTGATTCCGTAGGGCTGACCACCCACAAACATCTGCACATCCGGGATTCGTCTGCGGTAAGAATCCCGGCGAGGTGGGAGAGAGGGACTTTAGATGAGTATATCCGCACCGGCTATGCGTCACCAGCGGAGATGGTGGCTCCCAGCCCGCTGGGGCGCGCTGGAATAATTCACGGCTCGTGCATGTTCGGGCCGCATTTAGACTAGCCGCTAATCCTTTGGGGATACCTTATCGTTCGCTCTGTGCAAATTGGCGGGTTTCATCATTCAGTAAGACGGAGGATCTCAATGTCAGCCAGGGTTTGGGTGACTGACATTCTTAAACTCCGGCCGCCCGTCGGGTCAGCAATGTAGGGGAGTTTGCTTTGAAATGGGTCTTTTTTCCCATCGAATAAGTCCGCCCAGAAGAGCCGCAACCGCATGCTTTGAAGTCCTAGTCTAACTTACGGCATCTTACTGCCGGGTTACATTCCACCCAACGTGTGACTCACTTTCGTTATGTATTTTGTCCCTGCTTTTCTATGTTTATTGTTGGGCGAATCTTTGTCAACAAACCTGTTCCTCGTTTAGGCCCCTCCTTGGGGTTCCGTGTAAGTAATCCTGGGTAACCAGTGAACCACCTTATTCTCGATTCCTCGATCCCGCACTGTGAACAGACGAGTCCCTCCGTAGCTTATCCTGCAGGTGGTTTGAAGGCAGACCGCAACAGCATAGACCTGGCCGTGCAACTATCAAACGCGGGTTATAAGCCGGATAAAGCTCGGGCGATCGGGACGGTATGCTGCACTCTCCTCGCAGACGTTGAGCCGAAGCAGGAGAACATGTTTCTGCTGAAAATAAGGGGGGTAAAGGTCGAGCTGCGTAACTTGATAAACGCTTCATCCAAGACACGTTATTGGCCCGGTGGTCGGAAGATTGGGCGATATCAACGAAGCTGAAGATCCCGGGCCAGCACTAACCTTTGCCTTATATATTGGAGGATATACGAACGGACGGTGGAGAAGTCAGTTGACGGGCAACTTGGCCAGGGTAATCGTCACGTCTTCATCGGGGATGCCGATGCCGACGGCCGATTCATCGTGCAGCCCACCTCATTCGAACCCGTTTCTCGCGGTTGAGACCGGGACTCGCGGGACAAGGCATCGTCATTCCCGTCGCCGGTCGATAATGACCACAATAACCCACCAAGACTATTTAATGATTAAGCTTCCGCCTCACTGCCCCACCGTTAGCCTGGTCCGGGAGACTGGGATCTTCCAACTCACGCGAGGCCGCTCCGCTAACCTTATTTTTGGTACATCGCTCGCCCCTTGGCGAATTGCACCATCGGTTTTTTTTTGGTGATCTAATTGACTTGAAGTTTTTAATAATATCCCGTGACCTACTTCAACGGACGTCCAAACTGCCCTCCCTGATCTTCCAGCTTCATCCTTGGCTACACCATGCCTGCGCCCAGCTCCAAATCACCCCAGACTCTAGACAGATAGGGTGACTAACGCAACGATCCATTGACATCATAATGATCAAATCAAGTTTGCTCCCACTGCATCCAGTCACCCATTCGAAGGATCCGAATTTCGTCGTTCCTCACATGGAGCTCCGCAAACAGACTATTTAACGGGCTATGGCCAGCGGCCAGTCCTACCAGGGTCTATCCGGACAATTGCCAAAGCCCACGACAGCATGAACGTCGTAGCCCGTCTATTCGACTACTCAAGCGCTAGTAGCCATGTGTACCGCGTTCCCAGGTGCACCCGCCCCCGGAAATCAGCCGCGTGATCCCACGCTCGTCGCGACAACCTTCTCTGCATCTCAGGCAGGACCACAGAGGGGAGTCATTGGACCAATATCAGTGCTCGCCAGAACCGCCGAGGACCTGCTACAGTCCTCATGAACTTTCTAACCAGGTACATCGCGCCAAAATCCGGGTGGTTGTGATCCGACTTATCCGGTGGCAGTATTCTGCGAACCGTCGAGTGGTCTGATCAGAATCAAGGCCAGGGGTATGAGTGGGATTCAAAACCACAGAGTTTATGGCGCTTCGCGATTTATTAGCTACATTTATGTTATTAAGAGCATAGCAGCTATCTGTTGGGCTCCTGTCTGCTACAAACAAGGATAGACGCGGTTACTTGCGAACAGCAAGCAATGCTCTGAATATATCATATATCACTTCATGGCACCTTGAAACCCCGCACAGAAGCCAGTTTGACTCGATTGCCCGGAAACCACTTTCAACGGCGGTCTATGCACGACATATACCTAGCCACTAGCCGTACAACGTCGAGACAACGAAGTTGACTTAGATTTCCGACCCGGACTATACCCGACCTTACGTAACTCCCTCAATGAAGCGAAGGTCAGAGACATCTTGAGAATGGCATGCGGGGGATTTAAAGAGTAGCTTCGAACAGGAAAACGTTTTTTGATTACACTAACCGAGCCTGCTCCTTGTGCCGGATTCCACAATGTGATACTCTGCATTTCGAAAAAGTGGTTGGCACAAGGGGACTGACACGATGACGACGACGGGGAGGACGGCGGGAAAGACAACGCGCAAAATAACGGGGGGATTATGCAGAGTGCCACAATCCAGTTCGAGTTTACGCGCCTCTTCGGAGTTGTCCAGATGACCAACGCGGCAAAGGATATAGGGCAAATATTTGTTCTTCGAGTACGATCCAATCCTGCACTGCCTGTTCATGAACAACAGCCGCACACAGAAAAGACCGTTCATTTAGACATTCAAAGTAACTTTTCAAGCCTGTTTATTAAGCCATACGGTATTGGATAGCCTCTATGAAAGAAAAAAAAAAAAAGAAAAAAGCGTTGTCCGGCACCGTCAGCCGCGCGGATGGACAAGTGTGCGCTATGGGGCCGAGTATTCCGCCGTTCGATCCCCCCCCGCCCGTGGACGGACCAATCCACCCTGTAGTCTTGGCGTCATCGCGTTCGGACTTTGTCATATAATTGAGGCTGCTGAGAGAGACCGGCTCCTCCTCGACGATTAACTCCGCCCGCACAGATCGTCAGTTCATTGCAATTCTGACGCGGCAAGGCCCAGGTCGGTAGGCGGAACTGCCAACGGGATTCTGGGTTCCCGGGTGGTTATTAATCCAAGTTGCGGGGGCACAGACTTCCTACGGCAAAGAACAGCCGAGTAAAAGTAGGTTACCTACGGCTTCGGCAACAGCACGCGGTGTGCAGGGGCTTCAGGAAAAACAAGTTTGAATACCGGTAGTGGCTCGACGGGGAAGGCGGACAGCACAGCACAGCACAGCAAACCAGGAGATACAGAGTACGTCAGACCAGAACCGTGGTGGCGGGATTCACGTGCTGGATCGCGGCAGGCAGGTCATGCCGCGGACTTGAGCGAATCTGATTGTCGGGAGCGGGGCCATCGGTGTGCCTTCTCTAGCGCCCTTGACCGAGTGGATCATGCCACAGCCGGTCGTCCGGAATCCGGCGGATGTGGTTCCGGGAAAGGACCCACTTCATGACATAGTTACGCCTGAGGCCGCAAGGCCCAAAACAAAACACCACACTCACTACCTAAACCCCGGCCGTGGTCGTACTGATCGCCGGTTGTGTGAGAAATTCCATTGTTTCGGCTGGTTTGATTCACTTGCTTTGGCATTTTGTCCCAGCAAAAAAAATCTGAACCATGACGGAGTGTCGGCTGGGCTCCGAAGGGCTTTGTGCCTTCCCCGGCCTCCGTTCCCACCAACGATCCGGTCGGTTGATGCTTCCTCTCTAACTGTCCTTTTCTTTTCTCTCTTCGCTGATCTACGAGGTTGGCACGTTGGTCACAAATGTTGTCGGGCATGTCCCGTGCTACGTTGGCAGGAGGGAGAAGAGGGAGACGAGGGGGAAGGTCAGAGGCGCCGGGCCAGAATGCAACTCTCCAAGACAAGTACGGGGTATGAGAGCGACACCAACACGGAGGTGTATTGGAAAATGACATCAACTCCGGGCGTGGTAGCGCTGGGCAGAGGTTCCGGCTGGAAGCAACAGGGGGCAGTTAAAGTGGGCACGAGCTCCGGAAGACACGGAGAAAACAGAGTGGCGTCGTCAGCGGCCATCAGCTGACAGGAAGCGCACCGGCGACGACGCTGCAACTGATGAAAATGGCGCACCGCTGCGTCGGTAACATACCATGTACGAAGCGACAGTGGGATGCTCTGGCCGCTGATGGGCCCGGCGGACGGTGCAAACAGTGCTTGGTCGTTCGTTTGATGTTGGGCGAACGGTCTTGGCTTGCACAACTGCGCCCATTGTGTCGGATGTTGGGTTTCAGATGCTGCTGCTGCTCGGTAGCATGATGGGATACCTAAAGCGGAAGGGCAGAGTCTCATTCGTTTTGTTCGGCCTGCGGACGGATGAGCTGAGCCCAGCTGCACTGACACGATCGGGTCGGGGTGGGCTGATTATCAAGAAAACGTCCGCACTGGGGGGGGGGTCCCCAGGTTGCCGCAGCGTTATGACAGGAGTGAGGAAACATTTTGCCAGCTCGCGCGCCCGGCAGCGGGCTTCAAAGGCCATGTCCGAAATCGCACGAATGAAGAGCATCGCCAAGAAACGGGGGCTGCAGGTGCTTGCTCCAGAGAATGAATGAGAACCTGGTAATGAATCCGGCCATTCTTTTTCAGCCGAGGAAGAAACCGGAATAAACCGCGCGGAATGAGACACCGCCGCCAGCAGCCAGCCCCGTCTGGGGGGAGGGGAGGGGGGGATTCTGCTACCGAGGAGCCCTGAAATAGGCTTTCCTCGGTCGCCGGGACAGCGTTCGGACGTTCCGCATCATAGGTGCGACGTAACGAGCTTCTCCGGCCGATGGAGCAGAATGAAGCGAAAATTCTGACGAGGCCGTAGACACTTGACAACGTGGTATTATTGCAGCATGATTGCAATAATCGTGACAATCATCGCAGCTCTACGGACACACGTGTACTTGACAATCAACGGTTTCTGGCAACGGACGACGAGAACGACGAGCATATCGCATCGTGCAATTTCAGCGTTGTGCCGCCCACCATGCTGAAGCAGTCGCCGTGTCTCTGATTTCTTGAGGGGGTATCTTTTTTCTTCTTTTTAAAGAGAGAGAGAGAGAGGGGGGGATGGGTGGCAGACCCGGCTTGGCCCCCCTATCCTATTCGACAGGGCGAGAATCCGGAGGGGCTTTGCTCCGAATGCTGCGAGCCGAGCGGCCCAGGGCAGAGACTGCGATGTTCTCACTTTTCAATGCGCGCCCGCTCCGGTGGCCTCAGGGCTCAATGCCGGTAACGTGTACGCCTGCATCGACTTGGCCAGAAGAGCAGCCGCGCGCACGCTCTTTGTGCGAGATCTGGCGTGAAACTCGATGTGAATGTGCTGTGGTGACAGAGCGTTGGACAGTCGATATTCTCGTCATTCGCATGCTCGTGAATCGTAATGGACGGCCGGTGTGGGGCACCTGGAGCGCAAGTCCGCTTCAGCACGGGCAGATGAAAGTAAAAGTCCAGACCGCGAGGGTAAGTCGAGTTTGATTAAACGCAAATTTGGCGCGTTGCCGGAACGAAATGGCGCTGATCGTTCTCGGGATTGTCGGTCCATTTCGAGGATTGGGCAAGGGTGGTGGGGTGTCCCCGGAGCGAAGACGGACCAGCAGTATGCATGGTCTGCCCCGGCCGAGGCGGCAGCTTCTGCCGTGTTTGGTTTTGTGCACGACGACCCGAGTTGGCCCTCCCACTCCCGCAACCCAGACCACGGGAATGTACCCTGGATGCGCAGACAACCGTGGACCACCCCTCTCCCCATAGTTGGAATGGCACTCTGGGACACGTAGAGGGTTCGGGGTGACAGCGGCTTGCAGTGGCTGACGGAGAGAAAGCATGGTGGCCGAGATCTAAACCGTGCCGTCGTTGACGGAGGAGCCAAGCTGACCGCCACCGGCCATGTTCAAGCTGAAAGCAGACGTGATGGATCGCTTAAGCATGCACTTTGTATTCAGCAGTAGCGCCTCCGGCAAACGCCGGTGAAGCAGGTGGGAAAGGGACGACCAAAATGTGTTGCCTCGTGTCCGGGCCTCCTTTGATCTCGGTCGATAACGGGTATGCCGTAAGTACACCGAGGTCACCAGTGTAGTGGGCGAAGTGTACAGTAGTACGGGAGGTGCCATACCGTGCGCTGTGGGGAGAGTGCTCTTCCAGACGTGACCTTGACTGCTGGACCTGGCAAGCGGAAAGGGGGATAACCTTGCTGCCGTCGTCGCTTGAATTTGGGTGCTCCGTGGAACAACTCGGGGAGGGCTACAGTGGTGGAGGAGAGAGGAGAGGAGAGGGGAAGAGACGGAGGGAGAGGAGATGAGAGGAAGACAGAAGGCACTTTCCGAAGGCACTAAGAGGGTTGTGTTGCGCTGCGATGACGACCAGGGTTGCGGCACTTATAGGCTCGCCCGGAGGCGTTTGCCATCCACGCCCCCGATGTCATGACCGTCGCCTGCCTCTGGCTTTGGCTTGGACGTGGCTGCTGCTGGCCAGTCCCTAACCAGTACGCGAGTGTGCCAGTGTCGTCGAGTCGCCCAAGTCAGTGTCTTTTCAGGACTGTTTGGTAAGGGGGGATGGGCAGAACGGTCGGTCGATGCCGGTCCCCCCCAAGGTCGTGGGTGGACCAAAGCCAGCGTGCCGCGTGCACGGCAGGGTTTGTGACTCTGTGCTGCCGAGACATGAAGCGCTGTACCTACCGTATCCTCTCAGCAGATTCGTACACCGCACAGACCACCCACTAGGCCAATTTCGAAAGGCGGTCAGCCAGCCTAGCCACCCACCTAGCCATCTAACCCTAACCCTTGCCACCAAACTTGCTGCTGACGTTGACTAACCCTTGCATTTGCCACTTCTAGATCCCTGTTTCTGCCAGCCTGCTAGCCCCTATCCAGCAGCCCGTAGTCAGTGCGGTGTACGAATCTACTGAGAGGATACGGTATAGGGTATTGAACGACGGGCCCGGCAACGTCGCAGGAGAGTGGCAGAAAGAGCCGATCGGGCCCGAACGGAATTGGTGAGCAGGTTGGCTCGAAGATGCCTGTTGGATCCGCGCATGAACATGTCGAGAAGGCAGGAAAATGCGTCGGGATGGATGTCGATCAAGGGACATTTGTCTAAGGGTGTGCAAGAAGGGCGGCGTGAAGCTACTATGTAAGCTTGGGAAGAAGGGGGGCACACTGCGCAAGGTGAGGAAACGGAGCGACGGGCTCCCCATATGACGGCGATTTCGACTGGCAAGCGGGATGAGTTGCGCATCCGCCGGCGATGGTGGGCAAAAGGACGGACGGATGCGAGACACAAGACGTATCGGGGACGGTTACCGACAGGCACTGTGGCAGTACTGTATGATTTTTGGCTTTCGGGCCACAGCCGGCCTTTGCGGGGGGTGGGGGGTTCCTCCTCTCTGTTGTTGTCCCCTCCTCCTTTTCTGCGGTGTCGAGTCGGGACTCGGGAATTGGGCAGAAACACGATGGAGGGGGGAGGTTTGGTCAGGCAGGCGTTTGCTGAAATGCGATTGCGTTGGCCAAAAAGAAGAGAAAGGGAAAGGAAGAAAAAAAAAGAGAGAGAGAGATCGGTATAGACAAGACCTGAGCTGGTACCTCGCCATACCTAGATGCGTAGGAATATGTCGTTGGTTACCGATAGAAAAAGCAGCAGCATCTGCATCTGCACATCTGGGAGGCAGGCGCCTACGGTGACGGCTGAGTCCCATCGTGTCAGGCAGGGCAAGCGCAGTCGCGCCGAGGCAGGTACCAGATGTGTGGAAGGTTGCAGATGAGGGAGGGGCGAGTACTTGCATATAAGGTGTGGAGAGATGGCAAATTCAAGTACCAGGTACATAAGCCACCGTAAGGGGGGCCTGCGGAGGACAGAACAGGGCCAGAGTGGGCCCCTTCGCTCCTGACTCCCCTCCGTTCCTTCCTCACTCAGCTCCGGCACCACCAGCCGATCCTCCCGTAAAACCTCAGCAGAACCTCAGGCCCGCCCGTGTCTACCTGCCCCAGCCCAGCCACTCGTCACCCGGCCGTCCTTGTCCTTCCTGCCGTATCCCCCTCCCTTTTTTGCCACCTTTTTGGGGTTTCTTTCTTTTCGTGCGCTCTTTTCATTTGTTCCTTCTCGTCTGCTCTTTCATGTTTGCCCGTTTGCCTCCGGATTGGCGTTTACTGTACCACCATACACTAGGTAGGTACTCCGTACTTCCCGAGGCAAGGTTCCTTCCACGCGTGGAATCGTGGGAAATTCTTCCATTGTCCTAGGGCACCTCCCCCCGGCCTTTCCTACCCCACCCCTCCCCTTTTCCGCCCTTCTCTTCTCTCCTTTTCCCACCAAAAAAAGAGTCGCCGATTTCTTGCTCCCGTGTCCGCGACCCGCGCCCAGCTCTGAGTGGAGATGGACGTCTGGCGACACCCGTCCGCCTCGGCGGGGAGGCAAGACAAAAGGAGCAGCCGCCTCGGCATTGCTTCCACACACACACACATACACACACACACAACCCAATCAACCCCCCCAAGGCAGACGGACATCCTACTTATTTAATCCAGTAAGTCGCCTAGAGTGAATGACTTTGGTGGTTGCGAAGAGGAAAACATTGCCGCTCCTTTGCTAGGAAACAAAATCGAAGAAATGCAAATACAGCATGCAGGAGAGGGAAAGGGGTGGAGGGGGGGAAGTGAGAGAGAGGATCTAGTGCAGGGGCCGCCGACCGTGTGCGACTTCCCCGTGTTCCGTGTTGGTGCCGTGATGCCGTAGGTGTCTGCCAGGCCAGAATGATTGTCTGCCCGCCTGCCTGCCCGCCTGCCTGCCCGCCTGCCTGCCCGCCTGCCTGCCCGCCTGCCTGCCTGCCTGCCCACAGCCAGCCCACGCAGACTGACAACTGCTCTTCTGTCTTGCGCGTCGTCTCTCCTGCCCCGTCTCGTTCCTTCCCCGACCTTGATCAATTCCTGGTCCTGTCCTCCGTATTCCGTACCGTATTCTACTCCGTAACCCGTGCCGTTTTCTTCCTTTCTTTCTTCTGCCTTCTAGGTTCTCTGCTCACGCCCCTTGCCCTTCTTTCCAAAACACCGAAAATCTAAGGACCACCGCCCGGATTTCGTCGCCCTCCACCGAGAAATCGCGGCCGACCGTGTGCTCCGATTCTCTGCCCTTCTTCCACCAGAACACAGGCACGCAGCACAGAGCAAAGGGCGAAGCCACTTTCCCTTTCTCAAACGATCCGTTTATATCCTTCTGCTCCGGCGCCGTTCCGGAGGCTGCTAGCCTTGCTCCGACTCGCTTTGTGCTTCCCCCCTCGCCGTCGTTATTGTGGGGGAAAGGGCAAGGAGGCCTTTCACATCCTTCCCTCTCTCTCTCTCTCTCTCTCTCACACACACACACACACACACACACACTCTTCTCTCTCTCTTGCCCTCCCTTGCCCTCTCCGTCCTTCCCCCCTCCGCCCCCACCCTTTCCTTCCCTCCAGCGTTATTGCCCCTTCTAGGCGTCCTGACCTTGCGCCGCCGCCGCCGCGCCCGCCCGTCCGCTTCACCTCCTGCTCCTGCCTGGGGGTCTCGCCTTTTTCTGGAGCCACCCTTCTCCATAATCTCGGCGCGACGGGTCTTCTTTCCTCTGCGTCACCCGGCCCCAAAACTCTCTTCTCTTCCGGAACCCCCTCAACAAAACACTCCTCCTCCCGCTCCCCTTCCACCCCCGAAACCTTTCCTTCTCTTCTTCCCCTTTTCCAACTTCGCCTCGCCAATTCCTCGGCTCCTTGACGCCGAACACCTCCGTGGCCTTCTCTCCCCCCCCCCCCCCCCCCATCCTCCTCCTTGTCGCCAACTTCAAACCCACACTTCACCACCCCAAAACAGACCTGATAGCGTCGCGTCCGTCTGCCGTCTTCAACGCCGACGCGCGCCGTCACCGCCCTCCCCCGGGTTTCGCGCACACAAAGGAAGAAAAGAACACCCAAAAGCACCTCCCCAAAACCATCGCATCATCTGCTTGTCGGCGCATGTCTGAATCTCGCGTCTCAGCGACAAAATCGCCGCGTCCTTCATCTGCTTCGCCCAACATGTCTGCCAGCGTTGTGCGGTCTACCGCCCTTCGAGCCGGCGGCGCCTGCGTGCGCTGTCGCAAGGGCAAGACCAAGTGCGTCTACGAGAACGGTCGCGCTCCTTGCAAGAACTGTGCAAAGGGAATGCACGAATGTTATCTGCCCTCCGAATCCATGGCTCATCACCACGGCCAGTCCCCCGCCCGCCACACTGCCGCCCATCGCCCTGCGCGCGAGAGCCTGCCTGCCTCTGTCCCGGCCGGCGATGTTCGCGCCGCCAACCCGGCCTCCACCACCTCTCGTCACATTCAGACTCCAGAGAAGTAAGTTGACATGTCTTTCCTTTACCTATCTCCACGACAACTCCCTCCTCCATCATCATCATCATCATCATCATCATCATCTCTCCCACTTTGTGCCCCTTCGGCGGCTGTGGAGCCCACCAACGCGCACCGCACACTTTTCGCGCCTAGCGGGCGGCCAGCTGCCTCGCGCGCGCCGTGTGTGGCCGGTGTGCTATTCTCGTCTCTCGGCTGTGTCGCCGCCGCCCACCTCCGCCGAACAGGGAGAGAGAGCTCGGCCCTTTCTGCATGCGGCCTGGGCGCGGTGGCTTGTCCCTCTTCTCATCACACGCGCGGTCATTGCTTGTTCCCCTTCTGATTCATCTGCCCACTCCACCCCCCTTCTGCACCCCCTTGTTCCCCTCTCCCCAAGATCCGTCGGCCTTTGCCTCGATCCGAAGGCGGCACCCCATCTCTCAAACCGACCGCATCTCCCACCGCCGCTAGCTTGGATCTCGGAGCCGTGTGCTGGCGGCGCTACCCATCCCACCCATTATCCCCCCCTCCCATTCAGTCATTCTCCTGTGCCATCCCCATTCTCATTTCCCGAGTCGCATCCCGTCTCCTCCACTCCAGACTCCACTCTTCGCTTCCGGGCCAGTCGCCGGCTCCTTGGTCTACCCAGGTGCATGCACAGAAAGCTGACTTTTGACCCCCCCCCCAGACTTACTCCGGAGCTGATCCAGGAATGCGAACGGGTCATTTCCAAGACGTTCCCTGCTTGTGTCGCCTTCCACAAGCCGTCGTTCATTCAGCAGCTCAAAAACGCCTCTCTTGACCCGGCCCTCATCTATGCACTGCTTACTTGCGCTGCCAGGTACGTACTAATCATTTTTTTTTCTCCCCCGGAGCCTGCTACCCTCGTCGGGCTACCTGATTTCCGATCCCAATTCTCTTATTGGCCTCGTGTTTCACCACCTTTCCCCCGCAATGTCCGACTCTTGTGGGTGGTGCGGCCTTCCGGTCGGATGTGTCGTATCGGCTCACCTCGCCCCAAATGTCCGGACTCAGGCCGAAAAGGTCCTCCACTGTTTCTTCTGTGGTTTGACTTTAGGCCGACTCAGTGCTATGCTGTCGTAGTTTGGTCAATAACGACCGCTAACTCTATATCCCTGTAGGAGCTCCCCCACCCTCATCAGGCGCTATGGTGGCCAGTCCGGCGCTACCGGCGCTGCCGAGCACTTCGCCGCCAAGGCCATGGGCATCATCAATCAGAACCTCGACACTCCCAGCCTTGCTGAGATCCAGGCTATCTGCTTGATCATCATTCACGAGTGGGGCTCCCGCAATGCTGTTCGCGCCTACATCTACCTGGGCCAGGCTAGCCGCATGGTCCAGATGTATCGCATCCTCCACAGCCATCATGCTGCTGTAAGCGATGCCGACCGCTTTCTGCAGGACGAGTCCTTCCGCCGCGTTCTCTGGCTGCTGTACATCCTCGACTGCCTGCTCACCAGCACACCTGGCCGGCAGCCGGCTTTGTCTGTCAACGACACCTCTGATGTCTCACTGCCCTGCTCCGACATGAACTTTGCATTTGGCAATGCTGTCTTTGTCCAGACCATCAATCTGACTGACCCGTCTCGTATGCCTGCCGGTACCCGCACAGACGAGGTTGGTGAGTTTGGCCAGATCGTCATGGCTACACGCATCTGGCGTGATGTGGTCCAGATGCTGATGACAACAACCACTGAGACCTTCAACGACAACGTCTGCTCCGGACTGATGGGAGAGATTGAGCG